TATGGGCAGAAGGCAAATGCCTTCCTAATGCTTGCAGTGATTTGCTAATCCCCTTGAGCATAATAATTGCATTAATTTTGCCTCATGAATATGTGAAGATGCTATTGAATGTCATAGGAGGAGGGCACCATTCTGTGAAACGTCAGAACAATCACAGTAAATCTTTGACAAGGATGGACTTTTCTGTTAAAAACCAGTTGTTTAAATAACAAGCAGAAATGATGCTATCCCCACTATCCTTTTTAAAGCAATTGCCATGAAACACTGCTCAAAGTTTCTCTACAGCCCTCCAGGTATCACTGCTTTTTTAATGTAATGCTTGCTTTTCTGTCTTTTTTTACTGGGAGATGTAATGTAAGTATAGCATTTTGTTATTGCTTGTAGAACCATGCCAAGCCCAGGGAATTGCTGGAGGATATATGGAGGTTTTCATTCTTGGATTATCAATTTGAAGTGCGTGTAGGTTGGTGATGATCAAAAGTTGTTACCATCTGCTTGCTGTTTGGTAGACTGCATAATGAGTTTCTGAATCTCATCTTTTTCCACTGATGTCAGACTGTACCACAGAAAAGTATCTTTGTAGGCGTCTAATGAACCCCTTTACTAGCTGTTTCTGAGAAGAATTAACTCCTTTTGTACTACATCCAGTCTTGAGGTGCCTTCTTGACCTTGCAGCTTTTCCTGCTCTTTACAAGGCTTTATCAGCAGAGTTCTGTTTTATGCTTGAGGATCTCCCTCACTCTTGTTTAGGAAAGCGTGTAAGCACAGGCTTGACTTTATTTGCACAGATTTCAGACAAGCAGAGTTCAATACATGCTGAAGTTCTTTGCTGTTTTGGAGGCATGTAGTGCTCAGCTGGCTATAGAATTAAGCCCAGCATTTGCAATGCTGTTGGTAACCCCAATTCTGGGCCTTAAAGAGCTTACTATCAGGTAGGTGCGGTGGGCTGCAGGGAGATGCAAGCAACTGGAGCACATTTACTCTTGTAAAGTTGAGTTCTTTTGAGACCTGTGGCAGGCTTGGAGGCTGCTGACTAGCTTTCCAAACGGAGGAAGTCAGAGGGGGTTAGAAAGACACTGCAGGAAATGGTGTCATCCGTGTGTTTCTGCCGCCTGAGAAGCTGGTGAACACGGTGAAGGTGGGAGCATCATGTACCAGAAGCTGCCACTTGCTCGCATGAGCTGCCCTTGTAACAGCTCCTTTGGTTTTTCACAATGTAGTGATTATTTTAGTTCACATCCTGCAACTGGCAGATTCAAATGGATGTGCTGTGTGTCCTCCTACTGTGTGCGTTACTGCCTGAGAGGAGAACAGGCTCTGTTGTAGTGGCAGGCAGGGTGATTATTGCAGATGTGGTAGGACGGACAGACTTTCATGTCAGTGCAGGGATGCTTGAATGTCATTCATGTAACAGACCCAAAAGTCAGGTTTCTTGCAGAACTCTCCATTAAAGCATTGCAGAGTCCTCAGGCTTCCTTTATAGCTGTAAGTATCCCAGGCATAGCTTGTGGAATACAGACCGCAGCCATTCCCAAAAGCTTCTGCTTGCTGAAGTCACTGTTCACTGGCTGGTTCAAATCTTTACAGGAGATGCTCTATGGGAGGAGGAAGTTTGTATTCTTCATCTTGCCTTGCATCCTTGCTTTGTGGAGTGCTCAGGGTAGGGTATGATCAGGTAGCTTGTCTGCGCGTTGCCAATCTTCGTTCTTTTTCCACTACCCAAAGAAAAGCTCAGATACTGAGGCTTGTCCTCCACGTGACTGAACAGAATTTGGCCTTTTCCTATCCGCATCACACTTTCTCGTGTTGTTTTTACTGCAGCTCCAATCATAAGACGAGCTGTTTCTCTTAGGCACAGCATGAACATAAACCAAGAAGACACACTCTGCCTGTGCACTCTATATCCTCCACCTAGGAGTAAAGGGCTGCTGCTTAGGTGGGCTTGTTTGTGTTCTGTCCCTCACTTAATCTGTTGCATCTACTAAAGGCTCCGCTGCGGGGGTATGGGAGGCCCTGAATGCGCTGTGGTCAATTAAGTCTGTAAAGCATTATTTATTACTATTATTTCATTTCAAAGTGGGTCAAGCCGTTTTGGCATTTCAGGCGCTGATTCCTGGTTCAATGGCAGGCCCTGGTCACTATGGCAACTGCAGAAAGCGTTCGTCATGGCTGTGCCTTGGGTTAGATTCAAACTTCAAGGACTGAGCAGGGAGTTTTTAGGGGCTCAGGGCAGGGGGAGGCGAGTGGGACGGAGCTGCAGGCTTGGGGGGGTTTGTGCTCATCCTCATATTCTACGCATGGAGCCCTCCATGTAATAACAAAGACTCAGTGTTGCCCAATCATCAGGTAGTGAGGTGCATTCAGACCTGAATTTGATCAGCTCTTCTGCCTTAAGCCTAAGAAGGCACCCTTGAAGCTGTCTGCTTTTCCCTATCTGCAAAGGTGCTAATTCATACATACCTAACACTATATGTACGGATGGATTGAGGTTGTTAAAGCATGCCAGAGATGCTCAGTGACTGGAAAATGAAGCTGGGAGACCAGAGAGTGCCCGAAATTGTGCTTGGCATCAAAGCCTACGGCTACAGCAGTGTGAACTGAGCCTGGACAAACGTATACATGCCAATTTTAAGGGAGTTAGTGCTGATGGTGCTCCTGCACTGCTGCAGCACTATGGGTTACTCAGCATGACTGAGGAGCTCTGTTAGACCGTGGGTGATACAGCTTGAACTGGCCTCCATAGCTGCATCTGTGCTAGGCATGCTAAGGCTGGTTTGGAGCACATATGTGTTCAGAGTGTAAAAACTGAGACTATCTTCCATGCTTGAGTGTGTGTGTATTGGAGCTAGTATAATGTATTTACTGCAGTCCACAGAAGGTGGAATTTGTCTCATTTGATTACAGTTTGAATAGGACTACCAAACTTTTTAGTGCTCTCATCTGAGTTTCACATGCACACAGTGCAGCTGGTACAGTAACTGGGTCTATTGGGTTTTACTTTCGAAACAGTAAAAACTCTGTGCTCCTTCATACCTGCAACCTGAAAGCAAGCAGAACCTGGGCTGAGTTTGACTTAGTCTGTGTTAAGAGTTGCGTGAAGCTGAAACTCAAGAGTGAAACTTGTGTGAACTCACATGAACTGAAAATGAGAAGGAGCTTGTGCATGCTAAACCCAAGTTTCACAGCAGAGGAGTATGTCTGTTCAAACAGATGTAGCACAGTGGGACGTGACTCAGGAACGTTGGCTTCAAATTCTTGCCTTGTATTTCTGTGGATCATCTTTAGTTCGGTTTTTGGTTTCAGGTATCATTTGGAGGGATTAAAGCTTGACTATTGCTACAGTTGTGCTGTACATGGAGTTGGGATTCAGTATTCCTGTGTCTTGACCAAGGAAAAGGGGCACACAGTTTGCTGTTGGTGTTTCTCTTACAGCTTATTGTGTGTGTGAGAGTGAAATTGATGATGATGTTTGCATAAGCAACTTTGTAGTGTTCCATCTGCCACTTGTTTAGGGAAAGTATCATCACTTGTGTGTTAAAACACACAGTGACCAAATAGAGGGTAATTTATGAGACCAGTTCATCCAGTACTAAACCGAACCCAATAAAGGAGCGTATTACGTTACCTAAACTAACACGTGTAAAATGGTTTTGGCATCTTCAGAGGTAAGAGGTGGCTGTGATTTTTATCTGAGAATGAAGGAGACCTCAGGCATGTTTTCAGAAAGGAAACAGTCCGCTTTAACTCCCCCACTGCACATCCCATTGTGAGAAGCGAACTTCAGTTTGCGGTATGTAATTGGGCTTAAATTATAGCCCTTGAGAGTTCAATTGTATTCACTTCTTCAATTCAGTTCCCTCACCCTTTTCCTATTGCCTGCTCCTCTGCCTTGCTCAGATGTGGCTTTGCTTTCGAATGCTCAGAAGATAACAGGGTGCAGTAGCAACTCAGCATGGCAGAGTTAGCACAAAGGTCAGCCTTGGATCAGCCCAGGTTCCACTGTGACCTGCAGTTTGCAGAGTTGAACAATACCAGCAGGGAAGGCCTCAGAGATGTTTGGTCTGGTCATAACTAGTTTTGGCTGTTAAAGGAAATGAGTTACATGGGGAAAAATGGATGCAGCATGTGGTATTTTGAAGTGTCTGGCAGGAAGAAGAGGCATCAAAAGAGAAGGAACAGTGAGGAAATCTCAGTTTTCCTGTTCTATATAAATACGTATGTAACTGGCTTTCTGGTTTAGGTGCAGGGCATTTACTGAAGTTCCGTTCCCCCCGATGTTTTGTATCTTCTGTGAACCTCTGTCAGGTCTTGCTTTTCCCCAGTATGAAAGGGCAACTTCTCTTTCTTTAAATCATGAAAGCTTTTACGTCATAGCAAAACGTTTCCATGCCCCATTCGAGCTGGTGTGGGAAAGGATGGTTAGGTACAGGAAATCATGACTGTGGTGTCTGTCATCGTGACTCCCGTCCCAGTGCCCCATCGTTTTTGATGAGCTTGAATGGAGTGTTTCCTAAGAGACATGGTTCCATTTTTGTGCATCCTGTTGAGTCCAGTTACACTTGCTGGAATAAAATAAAGGAGGGACATAGTGGGACCCTATTAAGAGTGGCCTCTATTGAGAACACACTGATATCTCTTTTGCTTTTGAGAGCAAGTTTAGGTTTCCTAAGCTCAGATCCTCCTTTTGAACCCTCAGAGCTGACAGGAGAGAATGAGTTCATTCTCTGTGGTCAGATGAACTGAAGAGTAGGTGGAGAAAGACACTGGCAAGCCGTTGTAGTTCCCTTTGCCGCTGGTAAATGGTAACTGCCTACAGCCTAATTTCACTGAGGACATAAGTCCTACGCGTGGCATTGGGCACATCGCTTTGGGAAGCCAGATTTGTCTGCTGGGCTGGTGGAGATATCTGTGAGCGATGCTCCACGTCAAGGAGGGATGCAGTTGCATTGGGTTTGAGCTGAAGATCATTAACCCTGCTCTTTCTTCCTTTGTCTCTGTAGTACTGCCAGTAACTCCAACCGCAGCACGCCTGCCTGCTCCCCGATCCTGCGCAAACGCTCCCGGTCCCCGACGCCGCAGGACTCCCAAGGAGACGCCATGGTGGAGAAAGGCTCGGACCACTCGTCAGACAAATCCCCTTCCACGCCGGAGCAGGGTGTACAGCGTAGCTGTTCCTCTCAGTCAGGCCGCAGCGGGGCCAAGAACTCCAAGGTGAGCAGCGAGCAAATGCCTTTGGGCAAGATGTGCATGTGTCCCCAGCTCTAAACCCTCTAATGCAGGACACTGGCTTTGTTCTGTGCCTTTTCCCCCGTAGCTAACTTTCCTCTTTCTTCCCCCATCATCCTTCTGGAGATTCTCTGAACTGGGAGCTATTTGTATAGGTCAGATTTTGGCACAGCTCTAGCATCCTTTCAGCATCCACGAGTTGCTGATGGCTTGCACGCAGCTCCGTAACAGTTTATGTAGGCTAACGATTTTGCAGTCAAGACCCTGTTTCTATGGGAGGCTCTGTGGTTTGGAGAAAGACCTTGGAAATCAGCTGGTTTTATAATCTGGAACATGAAGGGTCATGGAACAAATATAGGTTCCTCTGTGCAGACAGCCTAGAAAGGGCCCATGCATTTCTCCAGTCTGAAGCCCTGTGTTGAGATGAGGCTCAAGATGCATAGAATCAGTTGGCCAATCCTCTGTGCATTACATTCTATCAGTGCAGTATTTGACTGTCTTGGCAGGGCAGATGATGTTTTCCCTAGAAAGATACTGTGTCTTTTGGGCCATATTTGAAACAGCCTTGTCTTTGCTGTTCTGAGGAGCAGGGTTGGGTGACTCAATTTTCTGTGAGCAAATGGGACCCCTTGAAACACACGTGGGAGCCAAATAAAGCCTTTGATTATAACCTTCATGTGAGTGGCATATTATAAGCTAGTTACGTGTGTATTTCCAGTGGTTTAAAGTGAAATATTCCAGCCTGAACAACTTCATGGTGGCACAGGTATAGCTCTGATGGCTTGTGTGAAACGAGTTGTTAGATCTTTGCCCGATTTAGTGCTGGACACAAGAAGTCTTCATCCCCTATCGCACACGAGAAGTGTTCATCGACTCCCCTTTGTGGTCGCTGTCGGCAGAGGAAATGGGATTCACTGGCCCGCGTTCACTGGGCTGAACTGATCACTCACGGCTATGGGGAGAGTATGGGAGTTGAAAAGAGCGGGCAAAGAGTTTTCTCAGGACGGATCATTTAAGACCTGTCAGCTCTGAGGTTGCCCTTGAGGTCAGACTTGCTTCCTGTGTACTCAGCAACCTACAAACACCCCGCAGGGCAGCGGGACCGGATGACAGCATCAGGCATTATGGTGCCAGCAGTGTGTCCCCAAAGGAGAACCGTGCCGATGGGAGGCAGGCAGGATGCTGTGGTTGTAGCCATGCTGGGGGACACTGTCTGGGAAATGGCATCCTTACTAAGGGGGAGTTACAGAAATGAGTTGCTGTGATTTAAGGCCATGGGAGTGCGATTCTCATCACCGTGGTGACTGTAAAGCTTGGCTTTATAAAAGGGAAGGGGGTATAATGTTTTCTGTTGGGTTTGTGGGTTTTCCTTCTCGTGATTTGCGAGGTAATTTTTCTTCTTTCCTTAATTTCTCTCTTTTCATTCCTGCATGCTTTCTCTCCGATTAAGTCACACAAGCGCCTCTCCAAAGTAAGCCTTCTTTTTTCTCTCCTGTCCCCCACTGTAGAATTGTCTCATCACTCAGAAACCCTCCCCGTGGTACTGAGCGGTGACCCCAGTAAGGCATTCTCCTGGTGCGGCTGTGAGAATGTCAGCAAGAGCTCAGCCCCGTGCCTGTAGCTGAAGCTGGTTTCACTTATATCACTGGGATCTCATTAATATTTGCTCACATGGTGTGAGAGCTGGCCTGTTCATCACATTCCTTCAATTACTTCTGACTAATTTTAGCCTTTGTTTTAAGGTTTGCTTTCCCTCCCCCTTGAAGTGAGCTGCTGTCTTTGCCAGGGAGAAATCTGCTGGCTTTGGTAGGCTGACAGTGCCGTAATTCCTTCTCTTTCCTCTCTTCTCACTTTATGCCTTCCAGAAACAAGAGTTGATCCCCACAACTTCTTGCTTGCTTTTTATGATGAATAGTAGCTCTGTGGCCAGTGATCTCAGCTTACTGCCCTCACATGCTTCCCCGTGTGATGTAAATATTAAAGATCAGTGATTTCAAATGAATCCAGCTTAAACCTGTTAGAACAGACCTGTCCCAAATGAATTGTGAGAATTCATGGGCTCGCTCTCAAAGGTAATAAGTAGAAGATCCCTCTGTGGGTGCTTGGATTGGAGATAAGATCATTTGAGATTGACCTCGCATCTCTATGCTACCCTCAGAAGAGTGTACCAACCAGAAATGTGGATGGGATGCGTACTGGATACCGTGCCAGGCTGTTGGCATTTCCACATGTATACAAGGCAAGTTAAAACCAGAATGGCTTGGATGGCTTCATAATCCACGGAATCAATGCCTTGGCCTTTCCCCTGTTGATGCCTTAGGTTTCATTCTAGGCGAGTTCTCAGAGAGCAGTGAAGTCTGCAGTGCTGGCTTACTGTTTTTCCTTAGTCGTAGTGCCTCCTGTGTCCAGCCTGACCTTGCATGTTTGCTGGTGTCTGCTGGAAGCTTTGTTATGTCTTTTATCAGACAGATTGTCTTGTGCTTGGTAACTGTAGCTTAAACCACAACAGTGTGAAAGAAGCTCTATGGAAGATGCAGGTCTGGAGTAGCAAAGAGTCCTGAAAGGATTGCTGGTGAGTAGAGGTGTGTGGGTCAGGACAGGTCGTGGTAAGCTGGAGGTGCTTTGCCTAAGTTATGAAGAAGTTTGTTAGGAGAGGGACTGATGGGAAGAGCACTGGTAGGGAGTGGTGTATATGTCAGATGTGTGCATAGTGGTACTGTGATGAGCAGCACATGAGGATGAGAGGAAAACCCCAACAACTTTAAGAGAATTAGAGAAACAAGAGGGAAGTGGACCTCAAGGTGAGTTCCAGTGCAAGGAAGATAAAGCACAGAGAGAAGGGGATCCTGGGCATCGCCTCCCCAAGCCTCTGTCAGAGCCTGCTGCCTTGCTTACCATATTCTGTGCACAAGGTGAGCCTAAAGCAGTGTCAGTCTCTTCTCTGTGCTCCCCAAGGTGGCTTTCTCTGGTATAAGGGGGGAATCTCGGGTGTAGTGACCCCCCTGATTCTTCCCACACAGATGATGATGATATTGTTAAGACAGGGAGAGGTTAGGAACAGAGCCTAAGATGTTAACATCTCCTTTCTCAGCCTCTTCTCCTCTCCCCGCCCGTCTTGTGCAAGAAGAATGGTCTCATTTTCCAACCTGTCTTGCTAATGAAACGAACCAGCTTGAGCCCATGAGTTTGATGCTGTGTTTATACAATTGCTGACAGATCTGCTTGAAGTCTCTTTTGTCTGTTGTGTCAATTGTCGTGCTGCAGCGTTGCCATCAGAGGGAGCGCTTCGCCAGGAGTTTTTAAGCACTGGATGACACCTCCAGGAAGTCTGTCCTGGAGAAAGAGCTTTGCCATAGCATCCATGATGTGGCATGGACCAAACCCCCGACAGGCCTGTGTCAGCATTAGGCTTTTACTGGCAAACACTGCTGCTTTCTGAACTTAGTAAAAAAAAACCCTCTTTGCTAACAGCCAGCAATGAAATATGTATTTTCAACTCTTCTGCTCCTGCTCACTGTTAGAAGTGATTTCCTTTCCCTTGTAAATCCTTCAGATTCTTCCCACTGTCTATCACTGATAATGAACGCTGAGGATGAATACCAGGTTAGGGGAAAACATGAGTTTTGATGTAGCCCCTGCAGCCTGTAGAACAGCTCAGAAGGTCTCTTGTCTTCAAAGCAGGGTTGAAGTGGTTAGAACAGGTTCGTCTGTAGTCTTGGCCAGCTACATTGTGCAGAGCTCCGAGACTGGAGGTCTCTTAACCTCATCGAGCCCTTGCTCCAGTGCTTAATCACTCTTGGGAACAGGCTTTTTCCTTCTACCCGAGTAGAATTTCCCTTACTGCAGCTTATGACCGTTGCACCTTGTCCTTTCAGTGTGCGATGATGAGAAGAGTTTGGCTGTGTCTTCTCATTTACCCTGCCACTGGGTGGTATAATCCCCCTGTAACCAGTAGGTGATGAAATACTGGTCATTTTGGACCAGGGTGAGGGATTTAGGAATAAATGTCCTCAATTTCTTTCAGTTACCTGGCCATAGGGGTTTAGAAGTGAGGTGAATAGCATAGATTTTGGAAGAAGGTCAGGAGAAAGGGCTCTGGAATCTGTTCCAAGCTCCACCCTCACCCTGGTTCTGTGCCTCTGTTTTCCCAATTGTAAAATGGACTTAGGGATACTGAGAGAGCTCTATGGCGTGTCATTCACTTGGCAAAGGTTTCCATTCCCCTGGAAGTAGTAGGAGTGAGTTGCGATCCTGCTCCCAGTAATGCTGAAAGGTGGCAACTTGTGTTGGCATCAGGTTAGCAGGCTGAACTTTGTATGTGTGATCCACTGCTTCCTATTAGCACTGTAAAGCTGTAATCTTCCATAGCAGTATATGCAATACCATTAACCTATGAAGATTTAGAGGCAACACTATATTCATTAAAGGCTCATGGAAGATACCCCGTATTTTGCCTTCCTCAAGTTCTTCCTGGTTACAGCCACCATGTAACTGTGAACTCTGGTATCTGCGCCGGTAGCATCGTCTCTGCAACTCAGTTACATCTCCTCTTCTGTGTGCAACTCCATTCCTCTGTTACTTATTTCTTTTCTCTTTTCAGTTCTAATGCTTATGGTTTCTTTTTCCAGTATGACAGACTTAACCTGCTCAAAGTAAGAATGTTTTTCCTTTTTCTTTCTTCCCCCCCCCATTACACTGTCTCTTGGTTTTCATCATTCACATCCCCTATGTTCTGATTCTGAGTTAAAAAAGAAGGTAAATAATATTGAAGATAGATAGAAGGATTCGGTCTCCCTTCTCTTTGGACTGTTTTACCTGCACAACAGAGGTCAGGGGGAAGGAATCCCCTCATGTTGAGGGAAGGCAAAAGATGAGGCTTGGATGTCAATATAATTGTGTGGAAGAGCTTAAGAAAGGAGGAGCTGCAGAGCTGCTTTACAGAGGAGCTGAAGTTTGGGGACATTCAAATGCAAGGGGCCAAAAAGAGTTACTGCAGTGAATGCAGCAGAGGGGGATGAAGTCCTTTTGCAGTGTGCTGACACCGCAGCATGTGCACCCTGATTTAGGCGACAGAGCGATAGCGGTGTCTCTGTTTTGTCTATGCCAATTATAGCTTGATTATTCATCCTTTTCCCCCAGGAATTTGTGAGTTATGCCTTTTGCTCATTAAGGCAAACAGATGGCAGAACAGATCTGCAGGAAAACCACTCCCATCTCAGACAAGGTGGTGTGTATATGGTTTAAGATTAATTCCCCCAATTCTTTTCAGGACAGGCTGAATTCCAGAAGGCATTTTTCCATGTCCTACTTGCAAAGAAGGATGACTTCAACCAGACCCTTTATGAATGGAGGGTATGGCCAAGTATGGAAAAGTGTAGGAAGTAAAAGGAAATTCCTCTGGTTAGTTAATGAGCCATACTGTGTATTCAGTTCATATCCTATCCCCAGGATCTGGGGAAAGGCCTTAGGGATGTTCTTTTTAACATCAAACTCCTGTATTTTGGCCTGTGGCATATACTGTGTTACTGTGGGGTTTTGCGTTAGAAAACAGAGCAAGTGAAACTGGCAGCAATGCCCAAGGTTGCAAGGGTTCCTTCAGGAATGAGATCCCGATGCCAGTAGGGTTGTCTGCAGGAGTGGCATATAGGGGAACTGAAAGCAGGGGGGTGTAAAGAAAGAGCAGTGTGAGCAACACCCATGTCTACATAGAAATCTCTGGTCCAATCTGATCTCATTAACACTTGGTACTTACTTTCCTCTAATGAACATCCTGTACATCGTTGGTCCTGTTGTGGGCTATCCCAGTGCAGGTAGTTCTGTGTCTCTGTGAACGTGAGCAAAGCTTCCTCAGGCTCTGTTACAAGCTGGGGAACAGTCTGTTTCCCTTCAGCTTCCAAACTGGGTGACGAAACATTCCCAGTCCAAGGGTCAGAAGCAAGATGGCTTCAAAGAAAGAAATGCAGTGAAACATTGCTTCTGTCCTTGGGTATTGCCTCAGCTCTCCCATGTGCAATGTGGACATGCATTGCTGCTTGGGGGAGAAGAATGGGCACAGCCATGTAGTAGTAAAAGGCTACAGGGCTCTCAAGCTTCATTGCCCTTGTGTAAATCCACCCTAAAATGGGGGATGCCTATATTGCCAGTGCTGCTCTATGTCCCGGCATTGGAAAGCCAGCCTGACTGGAGTGGGAGTGTGAAGCTCTCTCTGTGCAGATAAATCTCACCTCCAGCTGAGAACTGCCAAGAGAGACTTTCCAAGCTGAGCTGGCTTTTTCATATGCTCCAGTGTGCCGTGTGGCCTGTCCTCTCAAACCATCTGAAACGCCATGATAAAGGCAAACAAATTCACATGTGAAATGATGCAAAACACTGTGCACTGAAATTCTGGAGGGGAAAAATACATCCCAGCCTCTCTTTTCTTGTTATGCTTAGCTTTTCTAGTGATTTTCCCCTTCTTTTCATCAGTTTTCCTGGCTCCTTTTTAGAACTTAAGATGCTATTGAAAGTTTGCTGGATGGCTTTTGTGAGTCAAACTGTGTCCCTGCCTCTCCTCGTAGTTCTTCAGGGGCTTGTTTGCACAGGGTCCCTTCAGTGCAATGTGATTTTTGCTACGTGGCCAGCAAGGATGAAGCCTCTCAAAGGCATGGCTGATGATGACAATGAGGAGCTCCCCTGTTGCTAGTGGATGCTGCTGTTCTGCAGAAGGGAGTACAGTCTGTGTGTGTGCGTGCATGGGGACATGCACACGTTAGCCTGAATTGCTTCCTATGATGGACTCGTGCTTCTGGATTTGTTCTTTGTTCCTGTAACTGGAAATAACTGTTAGACCACACCATTGAAATCTTCTGTTTAACCCCACTTTCACTTCACTACTTATACAAACCAGATTGGACCTAGTTTCTCTGTCCATCTTTCTTTTGGATCCTAAGATCTCTGTGCTAACTAATGCTTCTCTTTTTATTTTGTCCTTACAGAAAAGCCAGAGTTGGTATAATGTAAGTACTCCAGTTTCTCTTGTCCCTGGGTGAATATGGGCTGGGTACCTGGGTGGGGGGAAAGGTGCAAAGGGGCTTTGCAATGGCACTGGGGCATACTGACCATTTCCAAGAAGAAAAGGTGGAAATGGCTCAGAACTGGCATCCTGAGGGAGGGGATGCCAGAGACAGAGAGCACAAGCTTTGTCTTTTGAGTCACCCACACCCTGTACCTTATTGTTTCCCAGCAGCGTTGGTCCTGATGTGACGGACAGAGCTGCCCCCCTGCAAACCCATTGCATCTCTCAGGGTGGTGTGGGGCGAGAGAGGAGCTGTTTTCTGTCTAACAAACTATAGCAAAACTCTCTTTTGCTTCTGCCTTGCTCTTGTTTTCATTCTGCAAGCATGGGTGGCAGTGCTGTCAGTACACAGTGTGCTAATTCCCACAGTCGGTGTCGTTCTGCACAGTTAAACCCTCATGGCTCGAGTGCTCTAAAGTAGATAGTTGGCAAATACAGCAGGCATTCCATGTCCAGCAGCATGGAATGTTCCTATAGACATCAGAACCAGTGATTTTGGCTGACTCAGGTTTGACAGAGGCATGAGAGGCAGACTGAGTTACTTGCTGTATGTAATCAGCACCAGGATAGTAGCGAGGACAGGAAAGGCCATGCTCAGGAGCAGATTGAAGCATGGAGGCAATGGCATTAAGAATGCAGGATAAACCACGGTAGGTCAGACCAGTGGAGATGTGGCAGAGAGGGGAACGTGGAGCGAGGCAGACTGGGCAAGAATGTGAATCTGTGGCCATGGCTAAAGGTGACTTTTGCTATTACTGCTTTTACTGTAGCTGCTGAGATCCATACCCTGCTGCATGATGCTTTGCTGTGGTCTGCTTCTGTGGGTCTCTTGTGTTTTCATGTTCTCTCTATCTTATCTTTCTGTTCTCTTGTTTTTCCTCCATATATTTTCAGCATGAGAGACAGTACATCCGGAGAGTAAGCACTGGCTGCATTTTTTTGTGGTTTCCCCCCCCTCCCATCCCCCAATTATTTTCCTTTAGCCAACAAAACCAAGCCATTTTCTATTAGTAGAGACATTCTGGCCAGATAAAAGCAGCAATGTAGATGGGCCACAAACTCCAGGAAGGCAGTCAAAGTCAATCCTACTTGGCAGTATTATTACCATTACAAATGTGCTAATGTATCTCCTTGATACAGTTTCCCTTCTTTGCCAGCTCCTTCCAGGCAGGATTATTCTGGTGTTTGGACCATTCTGGTTCTTCTGTTCCTTTCCCCACTGAGGGCAGCTCTAGAAATGAATCTGTGCAGGCTACCCCTTATGATTTCCTTTATTCACTTTGCACCACTTTGATTTTACATAAACTTCACTATGCTCAGAGCAAACACTCTCCTCATTGGTCTTTGTGCCAGTTCAGCACTGCCACTGTATAAATACAAACCAAAATACAGTCCTTGCCTCAAAGAGCACGCAGTCCTTAAAGATCCTTAGAGCATCACTGGTGAGAATGCCAGTTTCTTAAGGTTACTTTAGGTTTTGCTGCTTTTAACTGCTCTTCTTGTCCTTGTAGCATTGGCAATTGGTCCTTGTCCTCTTTGGCAGTTGGAACCCTTCCTTTTCCCTTTCCTGGATGCCTTTTTTTGTCTACTTTTTCCTTAAGGTGCTACCAACTTCTCTCACCTTGTGTGTTCTCCTTTTGATCCTACTACTGCTTTTGGGGATTGACATCCCTGTCAGATTGAGGAGTGGGAGAAAAGGGGTGAACCAAGGGCTGGTTTGGCAGACCAGCCCTGGCTTGGTCTTGGTGTGCTTTCTCTGCTTTGCCTTCCGGAGGACAAACACAAACTGGTCCAGGTGTGAGGTTTAGACAAGAGCATCAGTTTGAGAGCAAACGCTCAAGCTTTGCTCTGTGTCCGTGTCTTCATGGTGGGAGAGCAGACACCATGACTGGGCTGGCTAGGTTCACTAACAGTGGGAAGAAGCCTTCAGTGAGGAGCTGCAGACACAGAGGCTCTGGTTTAGAACTGTTATTCTTAAAGCAGACTGGGTTTGGAGCAAATGCTGTGGGACGGGTGGCTAGTTTCTTTACTGCATTAATCAGCATAGCAGAACTGCTGTCAGAGGAGGAATGCATGCTGTCCTTTTCCAGTGGTTTTCCTGTTGTCCAGAAGCAATGTAAATCTTCTTCCCTAAAGGGTTAACAGCAAGTCCCTCAGTTGTGCAAAGCAGATGAGATTTTCCTTCCCCCTTTTCTCCCTGCCCCTTCCATCTCTCCTGTTTTCTGTGGCTTGTGCTGAACCAGGCTGTACCTATCCCTGTTATTGTGCTGTCAGATCCCACCCCCCAGCAGCAGTTGCTCTAAATTTCCTGTTGGAGGATCTGTCTGTGTACTAACAGGGAGCTCTTGCTGTTGGGAGGCACCCTTTTCTCCCTGTTCCCCCCCTCACCGTGCCACCCTGTCCTGTCTCTCTCTGTTTGCAGTAGAGTTAATGTTTGCTGTCTCCACCTCCAGGTTAGCTCTTCCCATCAGTTGTGTCATTCATCCCTGCAATAGAGGTGGGTGGATGTGCAGACAGAAGCATCCTGGTGGGTTCTTTTTTGGAAGTAATCCCATGAAGAGTTTCCACCAAATAGGGCCATTCAGTAAAGCAATGCAGGTGCCTCACAGATGTCTCTAATCCTCGCTGTTTGTCCTTCCCAGGCTTGTTGTTCCCTCATCATTGGGTGGCAGATGGATGCACTGCTTCCTTCTGGCAGAGTTAAATGGGGAGACCTGCATGCTGTCTAGCACTAGCAATGCTTTTGTGGTGCGTCTGAGCAGACAGAGCTCTTGTCAGGGAGCAAACTGCAGTCCTTGGCCCTGGAATGACACAGTGGCTTTGCATAGGCTTGGTTGGTTGGTTGGTTGGTGTTTCGGTTTCTGAGGTCTATGTGCCCAGTTTGTTAGGAAGGATGAGGATTTACTTCAGGATACTCGTTTCCATGGGTTCAGCATCGTGGTTGAGCAGCACTGGTGCCATAGTGTGGATGTTTACCTCTTCATTTCTAAGCTTGAGCAGAGAGATAGATAGGCTGGGGACTAGAGGCAGAGGGGTATAGGGAGTTCCATTGCTTCAAGCAATTATCCTGGGACCTGTAGGGAGTTCTTTTGCTGGAGTCCTTCATTTCCAAAGTGACTTGATAATGGAGGAAACCTAGAAAGAGCTGTGCTTTTTGAGAGGGCTCAGAAACACATACAGGAATAGCGGAGCCCTTAAGATCCCTAGCTGTGTGTGTCTCACATGCCTGATTCCTCATCGCTGTACTCTTCAGGCCGGTCTCTCCTTTCTCCCCTCGCGCCTCCCCCAGCGCACTCTGTCCAGCAACTTTCCATTACAGGAAACATCTGCTGGGAGGCAGGGCTGAGCCCGGGTTACTGCAGGGCATTGGCCGACAGCATTACCCAGCTACAGTGACTTAAAGCATGTGCGAGGCGTTTCGGGACCTTCCCCACCCGATCCTTCCATGAGAAGCTGTGACAAAGACCGGGAGCTGCCTTTCAGAGCAGAGAGGGAATAGAGGAGGCACTGAAGGAAGGGGGGTAACTGCTTTCTGGTTGAAAAAGGTGGACAAAAACCCAAGCTGAAGCCTCCGAGCTGTTGGTCCTGGTGGTTGGAGCTGTATCAGTTGCCAGCTCCTGTGCATCGGAGCTTGGCTGGGAGCTGCACATGCCTTGTGCTGACCTGCCTGGGAGTGCTCAGGCTACCAGCACCTCTGCAGTGCTGCTTCAGTGGATACCCACAGCAAGAAGGTGGTGAGGCTGGAGCTTTGGAGCACCAAGATTGCCTGCCAGCACGCTTACCCCAATGAGCCGCTTCTGCAAACACCTGGAGGGCAAACCGTCTCTCAGATGTACAGAGCCTGCTAGGGCAGGCGACCTGAATGTGAGCAGGAGCATAGGGGAGGGCACATAAACCCCTGCCAAGCTGCTCCATCTCTTTTGACTTTGAATCTAAACAAGAAGCGGTGACAGCAGGAACAGGAAAAGTTTGGCTGGGAGCTGTGCAGTGGGAGTGCTATGGATTCCTTGCTGGAGTGCGGGTCTCTCTGGGATCTGGTGCTGGATCGCGAGCTGCCCTGTCTGCAGAGGGACCTGGACGGGTTTGTCGACTTGTCACAAGAATATGGATCAGATGAATTTCCAGCTGTGAGTGTCTCTAAACCCAACTGATTGTCACTAACAGAAGCTCTGGTGCTGAGCTGAGGTGTCTGCTGTAGTACAGGCTTTAGGTCAGAGCATCCCTTACTGCAGGGAAGGGAGGGGAGCACCCTGCCACATGAAACTGTGCTGCTAAGCTGGGTTGCTGTAATGCACTGAACCCAAAGCTCAGAGCTGATTGTAATCTCTGTTCCCTCTGCTCCTTTTCCATCCTGTCTGCTTGTCCCAGGAAATCTTGGGCTTGGGGCTCTTGCTGGAGCCCATCTCTGAAGAAGATCTTTTCCAGATGTTCAGACTAGAAGCTATGTCCTATAATCACTTTGATTTCTGGGGAAGTTCCCTTTCTGCTTTGGTGATTTGTACTGCACAGCTGGAAGAGATAGGGGAGGGTTGTTGAATGGAAATGGAGATAGGGAGGGAAGAGGTTGTACCCCAGGTTACTCTGCCTTCCCTACATGTGGGAGAAAGAGCATGATAGATCAGGTGGGAGATACGTGTCTCCTGCATTTGGATGTGTCTCTATTTTGGTCAGCTCTGCCTTCAGAAACTGCCCTGGCTGCTCTGAGCAGCTGTCAGCATGGGCACGGTGTGCAGGGGGATCTGACATGGGCAGAGGCACATTAGAGGGTAGTAAACACCAGAGAGAAGCCAGCTCCTGGGCTCCCTCCAGTTAATAGCGCCGTGAGGCCAAGTGTCTGCAGAATGAGTGCAAAACACAGTTGAGTCCCTGTGAGAGGGTCTTCTGAGCCCCATAGGAGTGTTCTTGGTGTACAGTGGGTAGTTGTGGTTCCCTGACTGACTTGATGGGGAGAGGAACGGGATGACTGCGGTATTCCTGAGCTCTTGATGACGGTGACTGTTCAAGTCCCTTTGGCAGGGCTGCAGGTCTACTAAAGCACCTATTTCCTGTGCTGCTCTGCTGTTCCTGGGAGAGCTGGGGATTGGTGGCAAACTGATGCACTGCAAACATATGTCATACTTTGTGCAGTGTAGGATTGCAGGAAAAGAGGTTTCTCCTGCAGCCCCAGCTTCCATACGATTCCTTTTTGCTACCTCTGATGCGGGTATAGCTCTTCTACTCTGTACTTGCTCTTCCAAATCAGGTTCTTCTCCTCTTCCCACTTAATGCACTAAACCCCAAATCCTCCCATCTCTGTGTCTGCTGTGGTGGGAGCTCCTAGCCTCACACTTTGTAAGTGCATCCAATCCCCCTTCTCCTTACCGAGGTGTTCCCGTTTTCCCACTCCGTTTCTCTGTGCTCGTGCCTGCCCCTCTCTTTAACAGGCACTGTTATTTGCAGGTATTGAGTCCAACTTACAAACAGCGGAATGAAGACTTCAGGAAACTCTTCAAGCAGCTTCCTGACACGGAGCGCCTCATCGTAGGTAAGGTGCAGCCTATGGTTTGGGGAGGAAGTCCAACACAGGCACGCATGCGGCTTGCTCTTCAGAGAGGTTGCCACCAAGGAACAAGCCCATTGCGTCTGTCTTGTGCCCAGATGGAACCCCTCCTCACCATTTCTAATGGGTTTCATCCATTTTGCTTCAGAGAGCAACACTGATTTGTATCAGCTGTGGCTCTGTTTCCTCGTGATGCGAGGAGCACGTTTCCCTCCACAGTGCTCCCCCAGACCTGACAGTGTGTCAGCCTTGGAGCTCCTTCCTCCTTTGGTCCGGGTTGCATGTCTCAATGTACGTGCCACTGAGCTTCCCTGTTTTCCAGCATCCCTGATGCCCCCTATTCACACATGACTGCCCTTCCCGTATCTATTTAGCCTTTGGCCTTGCAGCTGATTAGTGACTGCACACTGCCTTGCATCTGTTCTTTCATTTTATGTAACTGATGAGCTCATACCATGTCTCATCCTGTTGAAAAGTGCACATTCTTAGCAGGGGAATAGAAATGGTTTTGGATGCTTAAAATGGGCGAGAAATGAACTAGAAGGCAAAAAGGAAAAGACACATTATAGTACATGGGATGATAATAAGGCAAGATCATGAATCAGTAAGAGAGGTTGTCTGTGACATGCCCTTAGGAGGAATCATAACCCAGTGGACAGAGCAGCAGCTGTGGCTCAGTTCCTTCTGGCTCTGCCTTTGGCTTTCTGCAGCACTGCACTGAGTAGCTTCTTGTCTTGCTGCTGATCCTCACCTTTAGGCTGTCCCGTCTCCTGATTTTGATGCTCCTAAATGACCATCTATTGTCCACCCACAGATTACTCATGCGCGCTACAAAGAGACATTCTCCTGCAGGGCCGCCTCTACCTCTCTGAAAACTGGATCTGCTTTTACAGCAACATCTTCCGCTGGGAGACACTGGTAAGGCTCTGTCACACTGCTGCACGCGTTCTGTGCCAGCAGGTCTGCTGACATGGCTTTCAAAGCACTCTTCCCGTTGTCTCCCTCATCTTTACCTGTGTTCTTTCTCCGCCTTCCCCTCTCTGCATGGCTCTGACTGCAGCTGACGGTTCGCTTGAAGGATATCTGCTCGATGACCAAGGAAAAAACAGCACGGCTCATTCCTAATGCCATCCAAGTTTGCACTGACACTGAAAAGGTACATCCTTGAAGCCTTCACCCCTATGGTCATCCCTTATGGCTGGCAGAGGCAGGGAATGTCATGGGATTGAGTGCTTGTGCTGCCTGGAGCCTCGGAGGAGGCACCAAGGTGTAGAGCTTCTGCAGACCTCAGGCTGAGGCTGGAACACGTGTTGATCATATGTGGGGTGTGGGAACAGGTAGGAGATCTGGGTTATTTATTAGCACATCACAAAGAGAGCTGTTTCTATGCTCAGATGCAAGCGAGAGGACTTGCAGCTGATTCTCTCCCAGTTCAAGCATCTCTGGGTGAGAAGCACTCAGCGTCCCTGTGAGGCCTTCGGTTTTTATACCCAAGAACCAAGCAGCTGTGCTGTGTGGCTTGCTTAGCCTGTGAGCTGGGAAGTGAACTGAACAGGCTTGTTTCTTCTTCTTCCCTTCATTGGGCCTTTTCTGAACTGATTTTTCACTTTCTCTCTTCCCATTCAGCACTTTTTTACTTCCTTTGGGGCTCGAGACAGGACGTACATGATGATGTTCAGACTGTGGCAGAATGCTCTCCTTGACAAGGTACAGACACCAGCCCTTCAGTGCTGGGGTGGGGTGGAAGGGAGGTGATGAATATATGCAGCTGCAACTAACGTATATGCATAAGAAGGCATAGAGACAGTAAGCACATGTGTTTAGGTACATCACTGCAGGTGAAGTTTTCTCTTTTAACATGGAATTCTGTCTATGTACAGACATGCAGTAGATCCCACTTTGCCTCTGCTGAGGTGTGGAAGCATATGTCTTAGGAAGGAGGTTTTTTTGAGGTCCATAATTGAAGTGAAACAGCCCAGAAGAAAACAGTTGAAAATGGAACAGAATTAGCTCATTGCACAAGCAAAGCTCTCACTAAGTCTGTGTGTAGACTTCAAGGTAGGACAGAAAAGGGCATCCCAAAACCAGCCAGTGTTAGGTAGGGTTAAGGGCTCAGTGGGTTGGATAGTAAAATAAAGCAGGATATGCACCTGCTGTGGAGGGCCCCACTTATCCTGTATTTGATCCCAGTATATGTTCCACAATCCATTGAGTATTTCTGGCCTCCCTGTGGGAGCAACACTCATGAACTGACATTGTGGTGCCCCCAGCATTTTGGGATGTTTCTGACTTGAGTTCTTACCATGCTGGAAGGTTTAAGTAATCAGGCACCCAGAATACCCTGTCCTGAACATGGGGGTAGTGGTTGGTATGCCAAAGGATCGCTTTGCTTTGGGCAGCTTGTGTTGCTGCCATATGCTGTCATTTGAGCAGCCTTTTGGAGTTCCTGACAAAATTCAGTGTCCTTGCTTTCAAGGGCAAAGCAAATGGGAATGGAGATAAAGACAGGAACCACTTCCAGAGCTCTGTTTCCAAATGTAGGATCCGTGTCTGGCAAAAGAGAGGGAGAAAGAACCCGGTCCTTTTCTCCTGATGTGGATTAGAGTGTGAGAGTGTGTGTGGGAGGAAGGTGAAACACATTTTTCTGGATAAAACTTTTTCATTATAGGGTTCCCCCCCCATGTTTTTGATTGCTACTTTTGGGAGCTAGATTAAAAATTTCCTGCCTTATTCCATGCAGTAACTATGGGAAGGATGCTGTCAGGTGAAAACATACGCTGTTCTCTGTTCCCTCTTTAGCCTCTCTGTCCAAAGGAGCTCTGGCACTTTGTCCACCAGTGTTACGGGAACGAACTGGGTCTGACCAGTGATGACGAAGACTACGTGCCTCCTGACGATGACTTCAACACAATGGGGTGAGTGAGGAGGAGTAAACTCTGCCTGGGATGAAGAAAAGATGGCTTCAGGAGAGCAGGAGTCCTGATACACACTGCATCCCTCAAACTGCTGATTGTCCCTGATGAGAGATGCTGGGTTCCAGCCAAGTGTTTGCCCTTAAATGTGTAATATCAATAAAGCTGAAGGCACAACATTTCCTCATGGAAGCTGGCAGGGATGAAATGCCTGCCTCTCTACTTGCTGGGCTAGATGAGCAACTCTGTAAATGCCAAAGCATCCCATCACAAGGCCAGACAGTGTGTTACACGGTCAGAAAGTGCTGATATCCCCTGTACTGAGCCATTTCTGCTCCCGATCAGCCTGGAATCCTCATAGAAATATTCTTACTTGCTCTGTGTGTCCAGTTGTAGCTGTACTGAGAGGGGTAAACATAAAAACCTGTGTTCTCTGTGGCGTCTCAGCTACTGCGAAGAAATCCCCGTGGAAGAGAATGAAGTCAACGACAGCTCCTCCAAAAGCAGCGTGGAGGCCAAGCCAGAAGCTAGCCCTCAGCTGCCAAAGAAATCTGTCACTGCCAGCACACTGACATCCACGGGAAGCAGTGAAGCACCAGCCTCGGTAAGTGCTTCCTCTGTTGCAATGGGAGCAGTAATCCTTTCCTCTGGCAGCCAGCTCATCATCCTTGGTGCTCCGATTCCACTGCAACAAACCTTGGTACTTGAATCAGTGCCATCTGCGAGCATGGCCTTTGGCCTTGAAAAGATGTCCAGAGCATGCCTAAAGTCCTAAAATCCAGGGAACTGAGGGCTTTTAGATGTAAAGAAATGAGTGTTGGAGATAAAAGGCTTATGAGTTTTTCTCTGCCTTCAGTTATTCCCTAGGAAACAGCCTGTACCCCACCAGTATTACAGCAGAGCAGACCTTGTTTAGATTGTAGAATAGTTAGGGTTAGAAAGGACGAGTTTCAACACCCTACATATAACCTCAGATTTTCCTAGCTGTACAGGGCTTGTTTGGTAGCAAACCCAGTGTTGGTGTGCTTGTCTGAACAAACAAAAAGCCCTGTGTACATCCCCAGTTTGAGCTGTATGTGGTTCTTGGAGAGGAGGTGATCCCCTATGTCTGTGTTTTACAAACACTGTATGGTGACCTTCCTCCCCTCTCTATTATTTAATATCCAGACATGTTGAGGCCAAAGGTATGAAGATTGGCTCAAGGACGTGCAGATTTCAGAAAGCACCCTATTTCCAAGTGCTGACCTTGCCTTTGTTGTGCTCTCTCCTTGCTGCAGTTTGATGGAGTGCTACCAGAGGAGGAGGAGGCAGTGGCAGAGAGTCCTGTGGAAAAAGACATTGGCATTGCAAATATCATGGCAGAGAAGATAGAGATCATCAGCCCCGTGAACTCCCCTTCCCTAGACTTCAATGACAACGAAGACATTCCCACTGAGCTCAGTGACTCCTCAGAGACCCATGATGAGGGTATGTGGGGAAGGGCTGTGTTGTTTTCAGCCTTCTCCCATCCTTTCCAGTGAGGGACTGAATACTGAATTCCTTTTCTGGACCCTGCAAGTTCAGAAGATGCAAAGATTTCCCATCCTGGGGATGTGGGGTATTTGGAAGGATGTCCCTAAAATAACCTATGTAGTTAATGACCCCTTCTGACTTTCCAACTGTTGCCCTGGGTCAGTGGAGGGAAAGGGTTGCAAGTACCAACTTCGGGTTCCTTCTTCACTAATACCGATGTCCTGGTGCTGTGAAAGCACAGCCTCTGATATTGGCATGGATCAGGGCTGAGTTTTGTGGGCCTGTTTCCCTATAGGGGAAGTCCAAGCCTTTTACGAGGATCTGAACGGGCGCCAGTATGTGAATGAGGTGTTCAACTTCAGCGTGGACAAGCTGTATGATTTGCTCTTCACGGACTCTCAGTTCCAGAGGGACTTCATGGAACAGCGCCGCTTCTCCGGTAAGCTACCTGGCTTTATGTTCTAAGAGTCTAATTGTAATTGTAAAGAGTCTAATGTCTAATTGTATGGAGGAAACAGCTCTTATTTCTGAACGTCAGCTAAAGCCTGGTCCTGCGTTCAAGGTTTAAGAGTGCGAGGAAAAAGCTTTTCTAGCTGCATACCACACACAATGGCACAGACTGCACAGTTAATGATGCAAAGAGAGCATCCCTTGGCATGCTGTGGTCCTCCTTTCCCTGTAACTGGAGGTTTAAAGCTGAAGGAGATAGGTCTTGTATATAAAATGTAGGTATTTTCCCCTCTTCCAAGTGCAGGGAAAGGGGGAGAGGCTGAGGACATATCTTTCACACTCAGTTGAGCTCTAGTGCTTCCTCAGCCAAGGGGAAGGCGTTATGTCCTGAGCATGGTTATATGGTCATGCCTTTCCCTAGGGAATTGACCCGAGATCCCTCTCCAGTTACTTGAAGGGATTATTGTTTTGCCCTCTCAGATATTATCTTTCATCCCTGGAAGAAAGAAGAAAATGGCAATCAGACCAGAGTGATCTTGTACACCATTACCCTCACCAACCCTTTGGCCCCCAAAACTGCCACTGTCACTGAGACACAGGTATGTGGAAGAGGGAGCAGGGGTGTAATGCTCTGTAGAAACAGAGCTGTGGTTGATTTCCTTGTCTTGGGCATGCTGCTTTGCGTGTTGTCATTCTCCCTATCCATTTTCCTTTACCCATTTTTCTTATATTAGCTTGCTATCCAGTATCACTGCAGACATGAATAGCTAATCTGAGATTTACACTGGATTGCATTGCAAGGAAAAGGCCATACATTTTCCAGCAGAAGCAGAGTTGTTTGGGAACAAGCCAGCACATGCTAACAATTGTGTGTGTTACCCAGGCTGGTGCTTTTTGAGCTGCGGTCAGTCCAGCACATGTTATTCATGAGCAGGGCACAAGAAAGACACTGTCTTGCCAGTGCTTCTCACAGCTCTACACAGAGATGTCCAGGCTGGTGAGGACAATTAGATGACCTGTTTAAAGTGATGGGCAAAGGGAGCAGCACACTGTCAGGCAGGCAAGGACCATTTTATTCCGTGTTGTGGGCAAGCACCAAAATGTACTTTGCTGTGTCCTCATTGCAGAGGTACGTGGAAATAGTCTGTAAGAAAGGATGTGATTTGTGTATGAATCAGATCAGAAGCACTTAAAAGAAGTAATTGACATGTTTCTGCCGTGTTTAGAACCACAGAATCATTTATGTTAGAAAGGACCTCTGCTTAAAGCAGGGCCATTTTAGATCAGGCTGCTCCCTCACAAGCCAGACATGAGTTTAATGAGGCCTAAAGGAACAGGTCCTCATGTGGTAGTGTGTGTAACTACATCTCTGGTACAAAATGCTGGGGGTTGAGCTGCTGGGACTGAATGGTCCTTTTGAAAGGTGCCCTTGAGAAACATCTGAGTGAAACCCTTGGTTTCCTTGAGCAGACCTTCTCTTAAAGGTGAGATGTTCACAGGGGAATTGCAGAGATGGAGCGTGGGTACAGGCATGGGCTCCTGTTTGTGGTAAAGTGCTGGTGAAGGTGCCAGTCTATCAAAGCCGCCTTCTAACCAGACTAATAGTTGCCTTGCATGCTGTCTTTTCTGCAGACAATGTACAAAGCCAGCCAGGAAAGCGAGTGCTATGTCATAGACGCAGAGGTGCTAACTCACGACGTCCCCTACCACGATTATTTCTACACCATTAACCGCTACACGTTGACTCGTGTTGCCAGAAACAAAAGCCGACTCAGGTACACTTCTTGGGGGATGAAAAGAGCCATATTGATGACCAAAAGGCACCTCTGGGTGGGAGTTCTGCTGTTTGGTGTGTTAGAAGGGGTTAGGGAGCACTTAGCCTTATTTCTTTGTCGTACCATGAAGAGTTGCCACAGGGGTGATAGCCTACAGTGGTGGCACGGGGCAGACAATAGACCCAATGCAGAGGAGTTGGGTCAGGGGGTGCCTTTACAGGCTTCTCTTGCCCCCTCTTTGGAAGCAGTGGTTTGCAGGGCTGGTGGTCACACACAGTCAACATGTGACATGCTTGCAGGGGCTGGGCTTGGGGGGACAAGGGGAGGAATCTGATGCCAGGCAAAGCTATAGGCTTCGCTAAGCAATGTAAATGCCTGCCTGCTACATGGCTGAAGGTCTTGGGAGTCCTCTTGGGGGATGCTCTCATGATGTCCTCCTGCCGCTGCCTTTGGAAGGCCTTTTCGTGCAGTGCTTCTGGAGAAACACGAAGGGCTGAGACCATTGCAGAACTAACAGTGTGCAGGGTTATTTCTCATTTATTATTGACACAGGGGTGTGAATTGACATCACCTCCAGGGAGCAAAACTGGGATAACGACTTTCCTTTCTTCCCATAGGGTTTCCACAGAGCTGCGTTACAGGAAGCAGCCTTGGGGGCTGGTGAAATCCTTCATTGAGAAGAACTTTTGGAGTGGCCTAGAAGATTATTTCCGTCACTTGGGTAAGAGCAGTGATGAGTGGAGCTGCACAGTGCAGCACCTTCCATAGATTATGCATGCATCCCTGGAGCATGACATTGTCATACTTGCTGCCAGCCTACTGGGGATCAGACCTTGGAGGGCGAAACAGTAAAGTGCACTGCTGGTTCTTCTGCCATATGTTTCTTATGCTTAAAAGGCTGTATTAGGTATGCTTTTTCAATTATATAGGAAAACACATTTTTAAATGCTTTTTTGCATGATAAGCCATGATTTCCAAGTAAGGGTGCTCTTGAGGAAGAACTCTGAGACATGGAAGTGCTTAAAACCCATGTAGATGAGGCCCTCAGTGATACGGTTTAGTGGTGGTCTTGGCAGTCCTGGGGTAATGGTTGGACTTGATGATCTTAAAGGTCTTTTCCAACCTAATTGGTTATGATTCTATGATGTGTGGTGCATCCTCTGGCACTGCCTCTTAGCTGTTGCCATTCGAGGGCTTCAGTCTGTATCTCTGCAAAGCCAAGGCCACCCCTATTAAACACTTCCCCTTGCTGCCTCTGCAGAGAGTGAGCTGACCAAGACAGAGAGCACGTACCTGGCTGAGGTGCACAGACAATCCCCCAAAGAGAAGGTGAGCAAGCAATCGACCGTGCGCCGGAGGAAACGCGCCCATGCCCACCTGCGGGTGCCGCACTTGGAGGAGGTGCTGAGCCCCGTCACCACCCCCACCGACGAGGAGGTTGCTCATCGGATCAAGCATGTGGCAGGTAAGGGACTGCAGGATCCCTCATTGCTTTGTGCAGGGTTAATGGGAAGAGGGGACAGGGCTTTCCAGGGCAGGGAGGATGGATTGGATTGGGGAGAGACTCTTCATTAAGGACTGTAGTGATAGGACAAGGGGTAATGGGTTCAAACGTAAACAGGGGAAGTTTAGATTGGATATAAGGAGGAAATTCTTTCCTGTTAGGGTGGTGAGGCACTGGAATGGGTTGCCCAGGGAGGTTGTGAATGCTCCATCCCTGGCAGTGTTCAAGACCAGGTTGGACAGAGCCTTGGGTGATATGATTTAGTGTGAGATGTCCCTGCCCATGGCAGGGGGGTTGGAACTGGATGATCTTAAGGTCCTTTCCAACCCTAACTGTTCTATGAATCTATGATTTGATTTGAGGAGATGGAGGGGTGGGTAGAGGGAAAAGGGATGCCCTCCCCACTGGACAGCATTTCCTAACCTGACCTCATCTATCTCCCCAGGTTCCACTCAGACACGGCACATCCCTGAGGAGAGCCCCAGCGGCTTCCACCTGCAGAGTGTCTCCAAGCTGCTCCTTGTCATCAGTTTTGTGTAAGTGCTTTTCTTTGCTTTCCTTGTCAGGTTCTTAGCACCTTTGGTCCTTTCGTGTTCTGTGCTCCCCTGAGCCAGCTTTTACTCTCACATGTTCCTCTCTAGTCCCAAGCTTTGCACAACACAGAGGAAGGAAAAGCAATGACAGGCGGAAAAGAATGAATTAAGATTTCCCCCAAGTGTCCCATCAGGTCTTTTGTTTGGCTTGATCCCAGCTTTTGTCAGTGTTTAGCTGGCCACAGATCTGGCTCTATAGGTTCTGGATCTTATTTTATCAAATACTTCAAGTAAATGAAGTACTTAAATAAATCACTTAAATCAATATCTAAAGAGAAGAATTCCAACAAATAGAAAGTATTTATTATTTCAGGGACTCCGTTTAGAGATTTTCAGTGACATCTAGAAACTGTGGTTTTGGTTTTAGTTAATTTAAGTAATTTAATGCAATCTGGCACCAAACTCACTGTTACAATGAAAGATGACCATGCCAGGCTCCCTGGGAGTGCTGTGCTACCTTAAGAGCGCTTACTGTATGTGAGGAGTTTGGCTGTGACTTCTTTTCTCTGGTCTGCCAAAACCTGTTTGGGACTGGTCCTGGGCAGTGGTTTTGATGAGGATAATATCTCAGAAAGAAGCTGGACCATTTAGAGATGATTGCTGTAAAATAAGGGTAGAAATACATGAAGCAAGATTGATCAGCGTGGTTTTATTGTTCAGCAGCAGGAACTGTGTTTGATTCGGGTCCCTTTTCTGCCACTACCTTTCACGGTGGCTAGTCTTGGACTTGGCTGGATGTGTGCTCAAAGGGAGCTGTCTATGGGCTCCTTGTATCCCTGTGCTTGGTTTTTATACCTAACCCCAGGTGTATTTACTGTTTCTTTGCCTTTTGGTAAGTAGCTTTCATGTGTTAGTGCTGCAGCGGATGCTGGGCAGGTGCTGTGAGGTGCTACAGGAGCAGTGCAGGCACAGTGGGGTTTTTCATCACATAGAGAAATGGAAGCATGTTGTTAAACCCCGAGGAACAGCAGAAATTGGGCTCAATCTTAAGCTCCGCTTGCCTTTTAGTGAGGTGGGAAGAAGCTGAGCTATAGACTGAGGTTTCTTTTCAATTTGAGCTCCTTGCTGCCTTTCCTTTTCCCAGTGGGGATAGACTGTAGAGGTTTGCAGCAGCAGCCCAGCTGGTTGCTGTAATGATGGGTAAGGTAATGTAAAGTGATGTAAGGATGAGAAGGCAGCCTTGTGCTGTCTTTTGCTTACACAGCTCATGTTTTGCTGAGCATCTTTCACCATTAGCTGCAGGCACGCAGTTAGGTATCTGTCCTTCTTGCTTCTCTTCCCACTGTTTCTTTCTTCCCTCCTCTCCCCATGTATCTTCTGCACTATTGAGCCCTCTCCCTTCAACCCTGTTTCTCCTGTTCTGTGTTGGTCTGTTTCTAACCTGCAGCTACTCCCTTTTCTCTTCCCTGCTCCCATTAGGATCTGTTTCAGGTACTGTCTCTCTCTTTTTTTACCTCTTTACTCTTCCATTTCCCTCCCTTTCTCTGCATTCAGCTCATCCACTCACCCACCCTGTTCTGTCTGATCCATCATCCCTGTCTTTCTGTCTCCTGTCTTCCTTGCTCACACATTTCTCCCACCAGGTGAAGCTTTGGGTTCTGACCACCTTTTGTTTTTAAATTAGATCAAAATCTAATTTAATTAGATTGAATTCCCACTCACATACAGCGTGGACCTGACACCTTCTGAAAGCCTCAGGTGTGACTGGCAAGCAGTGGGCTATGCCGTGCTCCTAATGACCTGTTCTCTTTATTCCCAGTCTGGTGCTGCTGGTCATTCTCAACATGATGCTGTTCTACAAGCTCTGGATGTTAGAATATACTACACAGACACTCACGGCATGGCAGGGCTTGCGACTGCAGGAGAGGTACTATCTATCTGTGTCGTTTGCTTTGTACCGGGGAGGGGAATTTGGGCCTGTGACACATAATCAGCTATTAGATAAGTGCTGTGAAAGGTACAGGTCCAGATGTCAGGAAGTTGTTGGAGCATGGGAGGAAGAGAAAGATCACAAAGAGAGCACAGAGCACAGTTCCTGGCAGTAGTAGATGGGAAGCAGGGAAGTGTGATTGCAGATTAATTCCATTTCCTTAGTAATTGGTAGCACAGGGCCTTGTCCAAAGCCTTTTGGACATCCTATTTCAGTATAGTGTGCTGAGATGTGTAAAGCTCTGTGCTGCATGGCAGCATTTCCCTGTTTCCTTTGCAGAAAGCATGACAACAGCCAGGCTGAGTTTATTGTGGGGAGCAGTATTTACTGCATAGAGTCCCCCACTGTGTCTAGGGTTAAAGGCAACCAGACAGTTGCATCTCCCAGGATGTGCACATCTCCCCAGCAATGAGAACACACTGCATTGGTTCCTCCCACAGTTCAGCAGCTTCTGCAAAAGGCACATCTTTGCTATTAATTCATACAGAGAAGCACTGTATCTGATTTAGGAAATGCTAAGCATGTGTAAACGCACTTGTGCTCAAGAAAACATTTTACCCTTTAGGGTAGAAAGACACAAACTGATTGATAGACTCTACACGCTCCCCCAATCCACTTTGCTCCCCCTCAGCCTCAGTTTCCCTGGATTCACTGTTGCTTATGTTCTGCCTGACAGGTTACCCCAGTCTCAGACAGAATGGGCTCAGTTACTAGAATCTCAGCAGAAGTATCACGACTCAGAGCTACAGAAATGGCGCGAGATCATCAAATCTTCGGTGATGCTTCTAGATCAGGTAACATCAGAGGGTCACTGTGTCCTCCTTAAGCCATACCTGCTTCCACCTTAGTCCCTGTGGAGAGGGCTGCTTACCCCACACCTCAGTTCAGCTCACCCCCTCTCTGTTAGGTGGGAGAATGCTCTCTTATGGGTTCCCATCTTCCCAGTCCCCGCTTGCACATCCCATCCCCAATGCACTGCTCACAGATTATGGCATCAATACTTTACATGGAGGAAGGAGGCACCAATAGGGAAGGAATTCCCAATGTGTTCTCACCTCTAGGGTGGCATCATAGTGGAGAACTTTCTTGTCTTGCAGATGAAGGATTCACTAATAAATCTTCAGAATGGCATCGGGTCCCGGGACTTCGGGTCAGATCCAGAGGAGAAACGGAAACGTTTCCACTAACAGGCAGGAATGCAGGAGGCCAGAGGACGGTGTGCAATATGTGTAAATAGGATATATAAATATATATATATAAATATATATATACAGAATATAAATATATATATTATATACAGATTTTAAGAGAAAAAAACAAAACAAAGCCTACGTATCGAGAGGAAGGATTGACCTCCAACACTGGCTGAAATGGAGCGTCTCGGTGGCAGTGTGCTGTGTGTGTGTGGGGAGGGCTGTGCTCTCCCAGCACTGAGGTGCGCTTAGGGGCACCTTGGAGCGTGCTCCCCTGGGCCTGTGCACCACCCTTGTGTAATATTCCTGCCTGTCTCTGTCTGTCTTATGTTGTTTCAAAGGGAAGCATCAGCGTGAGTGCCCCCCCACCCCACCCCTCCCTGCGCATGAAGGTCCCTGGGTGACTGTATTTATCTATACACACGAAGGGGACACTGTCAACTTTCTTACCTTGCTGGCTTCGGGGCGGAGAGGTTTTGGCAGTCGCTGTCAATGCCTTGCTAAACTATTCCACATTCGGAGAGGAGGCTGCAACGAGAGTTGCTGTAGGTCTGCAAAGAACATCTCTCGCTGGCAATCAGCTTCTCTATGTCTTGGAGCAGAGATGCTATTTACTGTGGTGCCAGCCAGCCTGGTTCAGAGAGCAGAGCACAGCACATAAATGAGCTGAAATGCTTTCTCCAAACACTAGTTTGATGCCTCCTGTTATTGATACTGCATTAATAGCCAAGGAGGTGGTGGGGAGGGGAGTATCTGCCTACAAGGTGCATGGATGGAGGAGAGCCATGCTGCAGGAAGCACGCTTCCATCCTTTTGACAGTGTCCCCTGTAGTTCTCTGCTTTCCATGTGCTTGGGCCCCTGCCATTGAGCCATCCCTATGCTGAAGTTCTACGTCGGTGCTTGAAAGGGTGACTGCCTGTGTGACTCCCCATGATGGGGGAGTATTCCAACTGGAAAAGCAAACCAAAACTAGTATTGCTTTGCAACTGCTCCCACTCCCCTGGCTCAGCAAATTTCCCTCCTGCCCCTGGTCTGAGAGACAATTCTGCTCATACCTTGTCTTACGAACTCTATGGGAAACCAGGAGGGAGAGAAAGGACAGCTTCTTATCTTGCATGCCTATATCTATATAGAAACAAGGGCTCTGAAGGTCCAGGAGAGGTTAGGAAGGGTCACGGGGACCAAAAAAAGGAAAGGAAAAAGGGACCATCAGTGGGTGGCAGGGATAGATCTGGATGGTATCTGTGGTGCAAGGTATCTGACTGGTATCCTTTGTAAGCTGGATAGTGAGGCTCTACCTCTGTAAGCACGTCAGGTGATAGAGCTGCATTAAAAAGACACGAAAATCCATTAAATACGGATTTTCACTTGTTCTGGGGGATAATTCTGGACTCCTGTTAGCAGGCAAATGAGGAAGAGGGGCAGCAAGACTGTACCCAAACCCACTGCGACTGCCTGGGATGCAGGATGCTTGTCTGAATGTTTAATCAGTGCTTTTTCATCTTACCCAGCCACGTAGATTAGGTGATGCGCGAGGTCCTCAGTGTCCACCCTGTTCAACACCAGGATTTTCCCACCTTCTGAATGGCAGGAGGGAGTCAGCTGCATATTCCCTGTATGCAAACAGTGCAGTTGTAGCTTGTCTGCTGTCTCTAGCTCCAGTGGGCGCTGCAAGAGCAAGGGGACAAAAGGGTGAGTAACTGCTCCTTGTATTTTACCCTCATGGAGTCCAAGGAAAACCCTCCCAAGCTCCCACATTCCAATACACGTACACGTAACCCACTGCTTTCTCCCACCACACAATACAACGTATCCCACGGAGGACTCACATTTGAAGAAGCACAGATGGACACGGGTTATTAAAGAGACATTTGCGAGTGTGAAAGCAAGGTACAGTTGGGGAAAACATGCCTCAGCAACTAGAGAGTAGTGTGTATTTATGACTATTTATTTAATTTAATGCTGCTGACTACTGTACTTTGTTCCTCCCTGACTTTGGTCCAGGGAGGCTGCTGAAATGGCTACTGTACAATGAAACTGAGGTGCTAGTGTGTTCTGTGGCTCATCTTGGGATAGGAGGGCCCCAGTTCCCCACTGTGACTTGACACACTGGCCAAGAAGTCCTGTTTCCCCATTTAGTCCCACACTTCCTATAGCATTCTCAAACACTAACACTCATTCTGCTTGCACATTGCTTTAAACCGAGTTTAACACGTTTGGCCCATATCCTGACACAAAGCTATGGTAAATCCTTCAATAAACAGCACAAGGGTGGCCGTCACCAAACAGATCTTGCACATGCAGCGACCTTTAGACCAAGGAAGGTTTCTCTTTCTAGTTACTTACTGTCTTTTTGCCACCTGGCACCAAGTCAGGCTTGCAGTTGGACAGGATTCGTAGCATTTTATTGCCTCTTAATTTATCACAGGAGTAATAAAGGAGAAAAAAACAAGGTCTTTTTCTTAAAGCTAACCCCATAATGGCACTAAAAGCGAAAGCTTAAAGAAAACCTTGGCATGTTTTCACCTAGATGCCTTCCTGCCTCGAGCTATGACAGGAATCACCTGCTACGGCAGCTGAGTCCCAGTTGACAGATTAATTCCTTTTGCAGCCATAGAAGATGTTGGACCAGTCAGTTTATGATGCTGTTTCCTGGAAAAAATCAGCAATGCTTTCTAGGAGCAAGGCAGAGCAACCTTAATAGTGTTACTTCCACATTCCCTACAGTCACAGCCAAGGGTTTCCATTGTCAGGGCTTCACATCTTGACTGGCTTACCTGTGCCAGAAATCCCAAGTCAATGGCAGGGCTTTTAATAGCTCCTCGCAGCCGTGTTTCCTGCTGAGTGCTCCCTCTGACCCTTCTGCTGCTGCCAATCTGCCAGGTGAGCGCAGCTGGGGTTTGGTTTGCAGCATCTGAAAAGCTATAGAAGGGATTTCTAGCAGAGCATTTCTCCAGCCAAACCTGCAGCCTGATGCCAACAGCTCGTAGCCTAATTCTGGCTGAGTCAGATGCTACCTACTGGGAGGAGGGAGTAAGGAGACACAAGGCTCTGATGTGCCAGTTTGTGTGTATCTGGGAGAAGAATATACCTGCTAATCCTAGCTTGCTTCTGTTAAATACATGCCTTCAGTGCTTACCTTAAAAGAGGTGTTTGGGTTATGGCATCTGGGATGAACTCAAAGTGAATTTGAGACCTGGATACCTGCTATGCATTCATAAACCAGACAGTAAACTGCATCTATAGCGTCCCCAAGACAGGGTCAGTGCTGAGTCTGCACATTCAGCTTGAGAGAGAAAGGTACCTGCAGTGGTAAGAGTAGGAGTGAGCTTTGAGTTAGATGGGTAACCATGCACCAATGACCTGGTGCTCAACAACTAACCAGTAATCCAAGGCAGAAAACCTCAGTATTAATTGATATTAACTGATACTAACTTCTGCATAAATCCCTTCTGGCTCCCTGAAGTCCTCTGGGAGGAGAGAAAAAGGTCACACAACTTCGATCTCCCCTAACGTACCTTAATGGCACTGCTGTCATAGAGTATGCATTTACACACAGCTTACAGCTCGCTGTCTGACTGCCTGGCCCCGCCTGTCTGCTTCAGATCTAATAAAGGGAAACTGAAGAGAGACGCAACATGCCTTTAGTAGAAGCGTGACCTTGAATCGAAAGAGCAGAAAGCCAGGATGTGAGTTAATGCCTATGAAAAACCCCTCTCTGAAGGTCAGTACCCATCTTAGTGCAGCCATCCTATGCAGGAGGACCCTAAGGCACAGTACAGCAAACACGGTGCAGAGCGGCTACACCCTGAGAGGGCTTCTCTTGCAGGGTTTCTATGCTGAACTGGCCATTTTAACCACATAGGGCTCTATCAGTCGGCATCTGCTTCTCCCAGCGAGGATGGAAGTGAACCCCTTCCTAATTTAGAGGTTCCTTCCACAGCACAGTCAGTAACACACACTTTGACCGGCTCAGGGGAGGTGATTCCATCACGATTGTCGAGGCCGCTGCTGCCATCCCACAGGCCAGCGCTTCCTGCTGGACTCCTGAGATCTTTCCATTGGGATCACTGCCAGGCTCGCTGCCACTCATCATAGCACAGTCAGGTGGGCTCTGGCTTAGTCTTTTCAGTCTCAGCACTAAACACCCATCAGGGGCTTGCTTAGAACAATACTGAAACAGAGACTCTTAAACCAAAGCACCTGAGGTAAGTGGCTCACAGAACATTCATGTCCCTATAGTTCCCAAGAAGGATCCATTCCCGCTGCCCGGCATGCTCTGATGGCTGCAGCATGAGTCTCTCTGTGCCATAATACCTTATTCTAGATGTGCACACTGGCCAAATAATCTCCTCGTGTCTTGACTGAGATTATTTCCCGTCTAGCCAGACAGCATGGGCTTTCCTCAGCATGGTTACGTGCCATGCCCTCCTCTCCTACACACCTTCTGCAGTGCTTGCTATGGCTTTTCCCTCTCCCTTCACACCTTTGCTGCTGGACAATCATTCCCTGTGTCACAGATGGACTGACCTGGTGCTGTCCCTGCTCGCCTTCCCTTGCTACAGTCTGTATGCTCTTTAAGTGAATGTGGTTTATTTTTGTTCAGTAGGGAAAAGGACTTCCTTCTGCTGAAGGAATTATATTTGCACATGGCTCAGGGAGGTACCTCCTCTGGCCGTTTCTGTTACCTCACTCATTTAGGCCAATTCCATTGCTAATGTTCAATGGCCACCTTCCCCAACCCAAACTCCCAGAATAGTTAGGGAATAAAACTAATGTGCAGCTCAGGTCCTAGAGCCATTTGGTTGTGTCTCAGTTTCGGCCCCAGTCTGCCCCGGATGTGGGATTTGGGAGAGCGCCTGTTACGAAACAGCATCTTTATCCTGCAAAGAGGTGGAGCCTGTGCCACCCGCGCCTCGCTCCCCATCCTCACAAGCCCACCTCCATCGTGACAGCACTTAATGGAGCAGATACAGTAGCACTAACCTGGCTCTTGGTCGGGGCAGAGGGAGGAGCAGCAGAGCCATTGCAGCGTTACAAGGAGTGGCATCACGGGGCTGTGGCACCTCGGGGACGTGACCATGCTGGTGGCATCCTTCTCCCATCGCATGCTCCAGGGGCTGGGTAAAGCTGCTATAAACCTGGGAGCACGTTCTCCCCACCTGAGGCGCTGGATACCGCAACCCAACTACTGTGTGTAACTGCGACTTCACGGGGATCGCATCCCATCGGCACGGAACGAGGGGTACAATCACCCCTTATGGGGTTCCCCCTGAGCCCAGGAGGTGGGGGGCTGTTGGCTAGGGCCTGTAGCACTACGGTGAACTCTGGGGTGGGGGGGGAACCCTGTGGTTTTGTTTTAGGAGTTGTCTAACTGTCATAAACTTTGCGCTGTGCGCAAGAACGCGGTAAAATGATAATGAAACTTACCTGCTAGAACCTAGGAGTTGTAAAGGCTGTGCAGCCAAACCTTAATGTAAAGTAGCTAGTACAATGGAAGTACAGTATAAATTAAAACAAAGTCTATCAAACAAGCGGTGCGACTCATGACTGCTTTGTTCTCTTTATTATCCTGCCTGTTCTGAAGTCTCTTCTGTCATTTCCAAGTACAGAAGGAGTCTTTTCAGACACCAACCGGGACCATCTCGTCCAGCACCAGCACCCCTGAAAAAATCACTTTTGTTCCTTTTTCGCCATATTTACACACCGTTTCCTCCTGCCTAGAACAACACAGGACAATATCTGTCTGCTGGAACTGGAAAAGTGAAAGATATGTCCAAGAAAAAGCATCTTAAGATGCATGTAAGATACCGAAGGTGCAAGACTAGAGGATGGCCCTTCTTTACCACCTGAGGTAGCTCTCACCAAGTTCTTAGTTTACCCCTTTTTTGAGTTCATGTTATACCAGAGGGTTACCAGTGCTTCAGGGGGCTGAGGAGCAGAGCTAAAGTGGGAGAGAGGTTACATGGCCTTACCTAAAAATCACCGCGGGCGTCAATGCTGTGGTCAGTGACAGATACTCCGGAGTTACCATCTAGTCCCTCCTCTGGTGCTGTGGGTTTCGAGTTAGGATTATGCCCAAAACGAAGACATGCAGCTGAACAAGGAGCTGCTTTTTCCTCCTTTAGGCTACTCGGTTTGAAGGAGCAAGCGTGCTGCCAGACTGCAAGTGTCTGGAGAACGTGCTCACGTTGCCAGACGGCTCTGGACTCGAGAGCGATCCTACGGCGGCGGCTGTGCTGTGGTGGCTTACTAAAGGTAACACCCATTCCAAAAAAGGGAATTTTGAATGCCTGCCAGTTGGAAATCTGGCCTGGGCCTGACTTACAAACGGAGTAATTTCTGTGATTTCAGCAACACACAAAAAGCAGCAGAACAAAGCAGGGGAAATTCCATACGTGGGAAGCATGCCTGGATTCACAAGCACTTGGTAACTATTTAGAAGCGGTCAGTGTAGCAGAATTTGTCAACTCTTGCAAGCAGTAGAGGCTCCATTGCAGCAGGGATGTAACAACATCTAGATGCAAAAATAAACCTTCCCCATTTGGTCTTAAGGTACAATTCCACCCTGGCCAGTTTCTGCCTTATTCCCTCTTTGTGATCCTAGTTGTTGAGCTTGACCGATTACATCTGAGGCCAGAAACAGCCACTACAGCTGAAAAGGTCGGGTTGCATGGGAAACATTGACCATACAGTGGGAGTCCCGTGCAGCAGTGGATCACTCACAATGAATGCCAACTACTCAAACCAGTGACTGTCACAAGCAAGAAATACCATTAACTAGGAAAAAAATCAGCATGTGGTGCCTATTCCTCTAGGTGGTGCTGCACTATAGAATAAGGAGAGCATCAATTACTACCATTTTACAAAGCTTTCCTGGGAGGCCTGTGCATCCTATTGACTTTGCTTTGCCTACTTGCCTGTTGTCGCAGAACGTGGCTCCGCAGGTTATTCCTATCCCTGTGTCTCTGTGCACTTGAGGAATAAACCTGCTATGCAAGGCAAAAGGAAGGAACTAAGACTTCTGATGCTTGCTAAATGAAAAGGGGGGGACACAGGGGATACTTATACTTACATAGTACTGCTTCCTGAAGGAGGGGTACTTCAGGATCTACAGTCTCAGTTCCCTCCTCCAAGAGCAAGCATGAACAGGGCACAGGGGGACTCATTCTAACACCATCACAGTTCTCATCCTACCCTGCCTGTGCAAGGGCAGCCCAAAGTCCAGAGCAACTTGCCAAGCAACAACTACTTACTTAATTCAATTCTTCCTGTTTTAACACCAATAAGACTGCTTGGGCTGTAAGACATGGTGGAACATCACCCTAAGATGACCTCATTCCCAGTCTCATAGGTCAGAGTATCATGACATACATACCCTTTATCTCTGCAATGGAGAACTAGCATAGTCAGCAAATAAAGGTGGTGGTGACAGCAGCTAAGAAATGACACTTGACATTTACAAAGCCATTAACATGATGATGGAACAGAAACTTGGGAAGGAGCCGTGCTGCCCACACCCCTGTGCCCTTTGCTCAGCATGCTTCAAAAGAAGAGTCCTTTAGCAAATGGGCTGGCAGCTCAGAATGGAGTCATGAGGCCAAAGTCAAGGCTGTACAGAGTCCAAGGCAAATGGAAGAGAATTTACACTTCCCCATATCTCCTCCTGACGGCGCAGAGCTCCCTCTCAAACCTGGCTGGCATGATGCGGTCCTTCTGTCTTCAGAGCCCCTGCAATGGAGAGAATTCCTCCTGGAGCACGAGTCACTTGACCTTCCAGAAGTGAGGATCATGATACAGTTAGCACGGTAACTAGCACGACTTTAAAAGATCTAGCTTTTGGTCTTTTCCCCACAAAGTCCTTCCTAGCAGGTGCTTCCATTGGAGATAGTGCTTTTACGTGTCTCTTGAGCACAGCTCAGCATCCACAGGGGATAGTGACTATTCCCCATTCAACAGGAATGGGCAAAAGAGGAGTAATTACACCATGGCCTGAAAGCAAACATGTTGGTTCAGGGTTTAAAGTAACACTAGTACACCCACCAACTAGATACCTGTATTGCTTCTAATGTCACTGGGGAAGCTTCAGGGAAGGAGCACAACCAGACTGCAGGAGTCTCCCATTCACCTTTTCTCCAGCCCCACACATGTGTAACCAGCTGTAGTAAGGCTGAAAGGTTGAGACAAGCAGACTGCTTCCTCATCACCTACCTTGGTGCCGTTCATTCCACTGACTCCTCTCTGCTATTCCTCCACAGGCACAGCACAGTTTTCCTTGTTTTCTGATGGAATCGCAAGATAGTCTGTCCTGTAGTTGGAGGGAAAGGGGAAAGCACAACCTCAGTGCTGCAGTGCAGACCACAGTGTGGGTCCATCCAGCCTTACAGAGATACTGAATGCCTGTAAGTATTTCTAAGGTAACAAATGCCACCTGCAGGAGATGCTCACAGTAAGAAACTCTTTGGTACAGTCAGTAGCAGACACAGATCTCACACTTACGCATTTTCTTGGGCAGCTTCCTCTGCCTTGGAGACTTTCCTGTAGCAATAGACCATCTCTATCAGCAGCCACAGGGTCAGGAAGACCAGCAGAATATACATCATAATTTCAGAGATGACCGAGGTGAAGTCTTCTCCAGCTGTTAGGAAAATGAAATAATCTCTGATCAGTTACATGCAGTGATTGGAGCACGCCAGCTCCACTGACAATTCCCACCCTCGTGCCATCCTTCCCAACCCACCTTAACAGAACTACCCAGCTGCCACTACACTATGAGGGGGCAAAAGAGAGGGAACAGGCAAGATCCTGCCATCAGAACACACCATCAGTGATCCCGCTGCTTGTTTCCAGTGGAATCAAACACCCACACAAAGGCATCCTTGTAACTTCCCACATTCACACACAACCACTCTGAGCCTACAAAGAGGCTGCAGGCGGCAAACAAACGCAGGTCTCTCCTTCTGAACCCTGTGCAGTGTTTGTTGCTGCAAAGACAGGCACAATTCTCAGTCATCCCTCTCCTACAACACAATGAAAAGCTCTATCCCTGGGTAGAAGTAAGCCTGATGAGTTAAGGCACAACGCTTCGTACCCTCCTCCACCACAGTGAGGTGGATCAGTCTGGAGCTTGTGAAGAGAGGCCGGTGAATCTCAAACTCAAACTCCCGGGTGATGTTACAGGTGTAGATACCCGAATCGTTCAAGGTCACGTTTAACACAGTGATGGAGACGTCCTGCATGTCTTTACTCCCATTCCACTGCAACCGGCCACTGAAGCGGCTTGGAAACTCATGGTTGGTTTTCCTGTATTCGTAGATCTGTGGGGAAAGGGTATTTCTGATTAATCACTGACTCGTGTCTCGGACAACAGCGCAGCATATGCAAGGAACATCACCACCCTCGAGCTACACACATGTACGTTCTGGGCTAAGGCTTCCTTGGTAACAGCAGCTATTCATATTTCATCATCCTTTTCCTCAAAATCTTTGCAGAAGACAGAAAACTGAATTAACTCCATCACAGAGGTATTAAAAATAAGGCAGAGAAAAAGTCACATGTGGACGACGCAAAAGATCGGCAATGAAACTAAAACCAAAGCAGTCTTTGTGCCAGCCTGTCAGTCGTTGCACATTAAGATCATCTTAAGAAGGAGCCATGGAATAAATACAGCGAAGACAAACAGACATTTTTGGTAAGCCCTGAGGTATTCGGCTGAAATGGAAGTGATGCAGGATGAAAATGACAACGTGGAAATGGTGCATCAGAAGAATGGAGCTTTGGTAGCTCTAATACCTTCCAAGTTTTGGACTGACCACAGCCCCATCATTTCCCTGCCCACCTTAGCTCACTTTCATCGGTATTCCTTGTATTTCCACTGGCAAATATATCACCCAGGTCACTAAAAGTGGATTCCGATCTCGTTTCTCAGTGTGGTCCCTTTAGCTCTCAGGCTGTAGGAGGGTATCTGCCTTCTTGCCTGGCCCAGCTCAACTGTGATGAAATGCAACCCTTGATCTAATGCTTCGTACTCAGGTAAAATAGCTAGAAACAAACATGCACTCAGCCTTTATCTTACTCTCCATTTGCCATTCCTTCCTGAATTCCAGCTGTTTGTCTCTACAGTTCCCACTCTGATTCCCTCTGAAAACGGATTTTACCTTTTCCTAACAGGGACCCACCAAACCAACTCGCACAGATCCTCCCCAGGTGAGGATACCGCTGCTTTCTGAAGCAAAGAAGTGAATCCTGTCCTGCACATTTATCAGAGTTCAATTTAACCTCCAAAGAATAGCTTTAGGATTCAGAAGCATCCTAAGAAGGGAGATATAGCCAAGGGTATACTCCATACTTCTATTTCCCTAATTGATTTCCTTACACGCTTGACTTCATCTATTCAAGGGACAGAACTGGAAATTTGCATTCATATATGTATGACCCCAAATGTTTGAACTCAACCACAGATTCTAGCTTTTCCTGTCATATAGAACCCTCTGGTGTCACAGTGCTGTGCCCAAGAGCGGAAATCAGCTAAGCAAGAAAAGGACACTATAGTTACCACTCAGAATCAGTGCTGTGGAACTTCTGGTTGAGAATGCTGCAGAAATAGTGAAGATCTGCAGCTAAGAGCTGATTTACAAGCTCGTTTCTCCTCTATGATATGAAAGCAGCCTTGCTGGGCATTTCTATAGGCTTTGAGTAAAAGCTTTTGCTCATATTTGGGTCTCCCTCCTTCCCCTTACAGCCTTCCCTAGGGATCTTGCCACAGGAGAAACTTACACTCTCATAAATACCTTTTGGCTTCTCCCACATGAGTTCCCTGGGCTGTGTTTCACAGTAAGACCTACGACACAAGGGCTCAGCTACCAGGCATACATACAGGTTCATCCTTTCCACCCTCCGGCCTGTAGAACCATTCCACCACCGTGCTGGCTGTGACCTCTTCCCTTTTCATGCAGGAGATGCAGAGCAGCTTCATGTGTGTTCCTTGGACTGCCTCTGTCTCTGATGGAACTTCAACACATACTGCAGAACAAAAACCGGCTAGGGAGAAGGAGCAGCAAGAGAAGAAGTGTAAGATGGACTTAGAGAGACATCTATTACCCACACCTCAGCATCGCATCATCCCCAGTGGCAAACGGATTCATTACTGTGTCTGACAACGGGTAAGTCTCAAATGTCAATTTTTACCAACCTTCCTTTTCTGAGATATAAATAATTCATAATAATTAACAGAGGGTGATCACTTCATGCAGATTCACCCCTCCAGCATCTGCTTTGCCACAACTTTAATCCTTCCCATAGTAATTAATGCCACTTTGGAGGCATTGTTGCTTCTCTCCATGCATGCTGAGCATGCTCCTGCTCCAGCAGCAATTACAGTCTGGTAGGAGAGAAAGCCCAGAATTGAAGTGTGGAGGGACAGCTTGCTCACTGTGCTCAGTGAAACGGGCTGGATGTTTTCATCTGGCAATGTGGGAGCATTCTAGTTTTCATAAGCAGCACAGGGGATGGAGGGGCTTGGACCTGAGTAAAGGTGGCAGCAGGAGGAGTTACTGGTTTTACACACATTCCTGCTCAAATGCTTCCAATGAGATCTGTGCCCACACTGGCAACTGTACATACTGCTCACACTGAGACAGAAATCGTTGTCTGTGGAGCTACTTGATAAGAAAAGTAATGCTTCAGCACCATGTCTCAGACTAAATCCCTGCTGACAGTTGTCCCCTAGGCTAAATAATACTGGGTTCTGCTGTCCAATCCTGCCTCTGGAGCCCAGAGTTAAGCTCACTGAGGTGCTGACTTTGCTGCCTGCTCCCTCCTCCCCAGCTCTGAGATACCATTAACCCTGTCTCAAGCACAGTATTATCTCAGGACATAGCGGGATTCCAATTCTCCTGGACTACCAGTTCCGTGGGTAGCACCAGCTTTCTAGGAGAACTAAGGAAGCAGCTCCTGGATCGTGCTTTGCTCCGGTTAAATTAGCTTTGCACTCAGAGCTAAGCACCCACACATGGAGCTGTAGGTTACGTGCTCATCAGATGTGGCTGTACTGCCAAAACCAACCTTCTCCTGCTTGCGGAACAACTGTGATCGCAATAAACTGATTTACTCCAGCTCACACTGCATGGAAAACGAGCACTGCCCCACGGATTACACACCCTGGGGTAACCAAACATTAAATTACATTGCAAATTTCACAACAGCAGCAGAAAGGCAACGGGAAAGAACTTGCACGCATATTAAAGCACACGCTTCATGCCCTGTGTCTGCTAGGCAGTAATGCATCTTCTCCGCTCGCACTAACTCCATTACATTCACGCCAACTCTGCATGAATCCCTACGGTAAATACAAAAAGCCACTTAGAAGGCTGGCGTTACGAGAAGCGGCACCCTACCAGAGAGCAGAGAGCACAGAACGAAAGCACCTACCCCAGACCACCAACACGACCGAGGAGGCACGGAGCAGCCTGGGCAGCGCAGCCATTGTTCCCATCAGGGCAGAGGCTCCCTCGGAAGCCGCGGCTCCTCCGCTCCCAGCCGTGGCCCCGGCGCAACAGGATGCGGGCGGCGGCGGCAGCACCACGGACAGGGCCGTGCCGCGGGCAGAGCCGCAGCCGGGCCCGGGGCGGAGCAGCGGCAGCAGCAGCGGCAGCGGCAGCAGCAGCAGGTGGCGGCGGTGGCGGCGGCTCCTTCGCACCGCGACGGCTGCGCGGAGCCCCTGAGCCCGGGCGGGGGGCACGGCCCGCCGCGGGCATGCGCGGCCGCCGCCTCCTTCCCTCCCTCCGCCCGGCCCAGCAGCCCCTCCGAGGGCATCCTCCGGCTTAGGGAGCGGGGGTCGCGGACGAGCCTCGGGCTCGGATGGGTTTAACGCAGCGCTGAAGGTCACAACAGTGGGAAATCCTCTCTCCTCCTGCTCCTGGCTGAGTTTAATGCCAGCGCCAGGATGGGCTTTCTCTTCCTGGCATAGGGCCACTGTGCTTCTCCAACTTTGAAGGTCACTGTGGACATAGAGGGGAAAACAAAGCGCGCCCTCCTAAAGCATCTGCTCTGATGGCAGCTTGACAAACAGCCCAATCTATTGAATTAAACCTGAGCAGCCTCATCAGAGAGCGACACGTGAGCAAGCGGCAGTGCCAAAACTCGGAGAGCAGATGGAGAGACCCACCCAAACAAGAGGAACTCGGAGCCACCAGCTCTGGGCGCACGGCTGCGGGCGGTGGGCTCTGCCTTGGTGCTAAGGGCACACACAGCCATGCTGGTCCCGACGAACACTGCTGAAGTGCAGCAGGCACAGAACAAAGGCAGCCAACGCTATTCCTAGACATCATGTCCGTAGCAGCAAAGCTGCATTCATCATCTGCCAATAACCACACACACAGCAACTGCCTCCACCTCGCCATGTATAGCCTACTGTGACAACTCCAAGTAATTCCCAGCTAAGGGCAACTTCCCAGGTCCTTGTTCTGCTTCATTTTACTGACTGGGCAGGTTACTCTGCCCTGTTCTGAGGTCCAACCCCAGCCCGCTCTGCTGCTATTCAAAGGAAATACCCATTTAATGTGTCTCCAGTGACAGCTTGAGAGTTGGTGGCTTGCAGATGCCAGCAACACTCTTCCAATTCTCAGTTTAGGAGCCATCCATCACAAATATCCATGTCTTTAAGTCTGACTTTCCTCCACAGGAAGACAAATTGGCAGCCGCGGTACCCAGAGACAAGGGAAGGATGTAGCCTCCTACCTGAAGCCATTTCCTTTTCTCTCATTGCCCCTCGCTATATTCACCACAAAGGCTGAGGCACAGGATTTACTCCCAACTCTTCTGGAACAATCCAGCCCATGCATGGTGAATGAGAGCTGCTGGAGGGTTTTATATAGACACAGGAGCTACTGGACAATGTCCCCGGCTATCTCACTTGACAACCAGCTCTTTCAGGACATGGAAATCACATCTGTCCTCAGGAAGCCAAGAAAACACAGAGCCCGGATCAGCAGAGCTGTGCTGTTCGTGCTACAGCTGCTCTAATTACATCTATTACAGAGAATCCTGCCAGGGAGAGAGGGGCTCTGAGAGGGTTAAAAGGAAGCAGAAGCCTTTTCCTCCTCTAATCCCAGGCACTCCAGCACTCACCTGCCAACCAATGCAAATCACAGCGACAATCATCCTAAACCAGCAGGAAGTTGTCCCTCAGAACCGCTCATGTGCAGACCTCAAGCACTTCACGTTAGAAACAGCATTTGAGCTGCTGTTTAAAGAAGGGAAACCGGGCTCAGAGGTGAAGAAAATGGGTTTGGGTTTAGGTGGACTGTAACAGCAAAAGCCACAGGTCAGGAAGCAAACAGAAATCACATCCTCTCTCTCAGCTCTGGAGAAGCTGAGTCTTCATGCTGCATGTTTCATGTACTACAGACCAAACCAAAGGTGATTTAACTTGCAGTCACTCCAGAATCTGTGTTGGGTTTTAATGAGAACTTCTCTGGACTTATTCAGGGGCACTGTATGGGTTTGGAATGAAAGGATAAGATACTTTCATTCTTGCTATAACGTGGGCTAAGCTGGGAACCATTCCAACATCTCCATGTGCCCATTTTCAACAGGCAGCAAACACTGCCCCGCCCTCCTGAGGAAAACTTGCAATAAACGGGATGCCACGTGGGAAGCCTGTGTCAATTTTCACCCTTGTGTGCTGTGAAGGAGATGGAGAGCACATATTCCTTCAAGCTAAGGCTGTGCAACGTTCTCCTTCATGCTGCAGCACAGCCCTCATGCCTCAAGTGACCAGGCTGGAGGATGGGCACAATGCTCGGGGTGCAGGATGCTTGGCACACCGTGAAGTGCGAAACCATTTTGACACTCAGGGGACCGAACACTGAGAGAAATCTTGAAAGCTGCAAGGAGCAGCCGAAGTTATCATGCAGGGGTTGCTATGGCAACCCACCCAGTTAAGCCTCACAGGGAAGAGACTGGGAGGAAAAAAGGGAAAAGAAAAGAAAAAAGGCTGGTACTTTTGTACAGGCACAACAGGACAAGGAGGTAAAAATAACTTCAGCACCCTGCCCCTGCTAATCCTCACTCTTATGGTCCCTGAGCCAGGCTATGGGAGGGGGACCACAAAGCCTCCCTGTGACAGCTTCCTCTGCCATCCACAGTCGCATCAGGTCACGTCTGTGCAAACACCCTCTTTACTGTGCTGCTGAACACCAGCAAAGCTTGTTCCTTGCACAGCAAGGAGCCAACTTATACCCAGCCCTGTGTCAAATGCTCCTACACATCCATCCCAACATCAAGACCACCAGAGCTGTGCAACAGCCAAGGAAGAGTGGTGCAAGCCCCTGATGCACAAGTGCTAGATGTAAAAGCAGGGAAATGAAGTGAGCACCCTTTACACTGCTGTTCCCATGGAGCAGCCTCTGCCTGGTACGGGACCAGGAACGATTTGTAGGGGAGTCCTGCAGGATAATGTATACCAATATTAAAATGATGAATTTAATAGATGTAGGCATCCTTCCCACTCACAGAAATCTTCAGCAAGGCAAGGCTTCCCTAGCTGCCTTTACAGGGTGCCTGTAGGTTACAAAAGCTCATTCAGCTTTCCTTTTTTCCCCACTCAAGTTTTAAAATGCATCTCCACGTACTTGCCGTCACCTGGATCCTCATCATAATGTCCTCTAAAGTACAGAGAATCTAGCTATGCTCTTCACATCTTCACATCTGCAGGGTGGCATTTTCCAGCTGATTTCCCAATGCTGTGACCAGACCTCCAGTCCTGAGGTGCACCTACCCCCAGTTGCATGTCCTGTCCCCCCCATACTCAAGAAATCAGGTCCCCAGTGATGCTCTTAAGATGCAGGTACCCCGAGTGACCACACAAATGCCTGCCTGCAATTGTGCTGCATCATTTTGAGCCAGATCTATTTCCCTGTGCAGTGGAGAGGGGGTCTCCTTGTGCATCCCACTATGGCTCCTGAAAGCTGTGCTCCATACTGAGCTCTCGTTTTCTGTCACAGACATGCTGCATGACCTCTTACCACTTGGATTACTGCTGCTACCTAAGCTTGGCTTAGCTTCTTCCTTCGTGCCTGTGGAAGAGGCCAACTGATTCTGTTCTGATGGGCATCAGACCCTTTAACACTGGCTGCTCTCCCTGTATGCTTTCACTGAGGACCCACAAGGCACGGGCCCTTTGCCATCCTTACCTCCCAGAGAAAACACAGGCTGTTCAACGTGCCTCTGTCTCTCCTTGGCTCTGAGAACCGTTTTCCTTTCAGGACTGAGGGCTGGATATTAGAACAAGATATTGAATTGGATATGTGAATAAGAGCTGCCTTGCCAAGCAGGCTGCCTGAGCTGCCTGTGAGTCTTTCCTGCTTTCCACAGCAATGCTCCCTGTCAGAGAAAGGCTTCCTCAAACAGAGGAGTTCTGCCTAAGCCAAAACCTGCACATGCACAGAGGGCTGGGGTCCTGGATCCCTTTGCACAGCTGATGTGCTCCAGAGTCTGGGCTGCAGGTTCTCCCCTCTACACCCAAGAAACACACTGAGCTACATTCCTGCATGTTGCTAACGCTCTGTGGTCAGTAACTAAACACCCACATTTTTCAGACCATTAATACAGGCCATGTTCAGAGGCATGCTATTGTGTACATCCTGGAAATATTAAGCCCTGGTGTTGGTCCAGGTACTTTTGGAGTATTGTTTTCCTGTTTCAATGCCAATGAAATCAAGCAGCACACGTGCACACAGGCCAGCCTTTGTGTGCTGTAACTGAAGTGCTGTTTTACCAAGCTGGAGTCTAATGAGGTGGCACTTTCACAGACGTGCTTTTAGGCCTCTCCTCAGCCCATTCACTTTAGCAGGGGATGAAAACCCATTAGCGTGTCGGACTGCCACGCATATTCATTCACATTTGCTCATTTAATTTCTGAATTGTTGCTGCTAGTAAAACACATAAAGGCATCAATTATTTTAGCACCATGCCGTGATTGCATTTCAGTAAGGAAAAGCTTGTTCAGCAAGTGGTACTGTCTTACCTTGGCTGAAGAGGTAGCTGCTGCTTGGCTGCTTTAATAGCAGACAAGGCTGAATCTCCTCCCAGCTGTCAATAAGCATGGACAGACACCTTTAAGTTAATATCCAAATGCCCCACAAGGCAGCTCTGGGCTGCTGCTCAAATGTGGTTTGTTTTCACTGGCATCCAGGAAATACAAAGGATTCCGAGAGACTCTTTTTGTACTGGAAATGTTGGGTCAGGTATACTTCTTGTCTTGCAGAATCAAATCTCCCCTTGTGAAAGGGAAACTCATTTGGGCTTTGGCTACATTCTGCACCTGCTGTTTGTGGGGTTTCAACTTTCTCTTCATAGTAGCACAACTGGCATCAGTTTTCATCTAAACCAACAAGCATATATGTAAAACAAGGGAAGGAGAAGCAGTTTTTCCACCTGCTATACAACCGAATTAAAAGGTCTTTTGTCTTCCAACAGTGGGGAACACCTCCCTGCTCAGATTCAAAGGTGCTGTGTGCAATAGCAGAAGTTACACAGAGCTTTGAATCTGTAAACTATCACTTTCTCCTTCGAGCCCACTATTTCTCAATCGCACTTTAGCATCTAAGCAGGCATCTTCTCCTGTCGGGTACTCTGCAGCAGTTTGCTGACTTTTAGTTGTTGGTTCATAAACGTTAAACAAAGAAACAACCAGAATAAAACCAACCCAATTTAGGGCAATGGTAGGTTTCCATCCAGAGGCCAAATAGTGTGTGGGAAAGGAGAGATCCCTGGGTGGGGGCAATGAGGGAAAGAGAACACATATGCATGCACATGTATGCGTGCGTACATGTTATGCATGTGTGTGTTGCAGGCAGGAGGCGGAACATGCCTGGTGCTGTGCAACCCTAGAACACCCTGGCACCAATCCTGCCAAGCCAGCAGATAGCGCTGTCCCCTCTGCAGCGCACACACAGCCGAGTTCCTCTGCTCCTATAAGCAGCTCAGGCAACACCGATCGTAGAGCTAGAGAAACGGTGCCCCTGTTGGCGTTCCCCACGTCTTTCTAGCTGCAGCCACTTGTCATCTGTGTTATTACCGTTGTTATTCACCATCACAGACAAGATGCTGGACAAAGAGCTCAGTGTAGCCTTTCTGTGCCATGATTTAGTGGCCAGAAGTGCTTCAGTGTCCCAGCCAGCGACTGAAGTGATTTCCCTCTAATTTATCTACAAATAGATGATGTGTCTGCATCGCTTACACCTTTTCTCCCTGTTACTGTGAAACTCTACAGAAGTACATCACTTCTCTTAGCGAACAGGGGTACCAATCCACATTAAGGTCACACATGGTGACCAGCTGCAATACTTAATACTTTGTGTGCAAGTGCAGATACTCCCCTTCCACCCCAAAGATCTAAAGTTCCCCATTTAGCAAAAGCATGAAAAAACAGAATAATTCTTTTGTTGGTGCCTGTCGAATTCTAAAAGCATTCAGCCATAAAGGACTTAAGTGATGGACCAGCTCACTATGGGCTTCAGAATTAGATTTCTGTGACACAACAAAAGTCAGAGGGATGCAGAAATTCCTCTCCAGGTTTACACTGAGCAGAGAGGACACTACACAGTCATAGAATTTATTGCACGCAGTAACCATTTAGAGTGGGTCAGTGCTTTTCCCAAGAAACTCCAGACTACGTAAAGCACTGGCTATCAGTAAAACACCATGCTCTGAGAAGGATGAAGCCATAACTGTTGATAACAGGTACAGATTTCAGTGTGTTCCTGCCAGACATCAACAAGTTAAGATAAATCAAGAAATCAGAAAGTCCATGAGATCAGACAAGCTGGAAGGCAAAGGGAATAACTCAATTGCACCAGCAGAACAGAGCATAACTAAAGCAACCTTAGCTCCAGAGCCAGCAGACAGTATAGCCAGCTGTCTGAGTCACGTAATTGCTTGAAGGTCACAGAGGGTGCTTATTTCAAGGCCAGCTGAAACCAGGTCATCAGCTCAAGTCTGTGTTCGGGCAAGGACTAAAGATTTGGGTAAACTGCAAGCAGTGTATGGAGGATTAATGAAGAGGAATCCTTGGTCCTAATGGTCAGGTGCCATTATCACCTGCCCACCCTCAAACCTAAACAAAACCAAACTCTTTTTGGATGGGACTTACTCTGGGGATAGAAACAGTTTCCTTCTAGCACTGGAGATGGGGCTGTCCAACTCTAGAACAAGGGACACTGTTGATGCTCACTCCTCAGTCCCTCTTACACATGCAGAAATACACAATCTTGGCACAATGTCTCCAGAAAGCCATTATTATAACTACTGCTTCCTATTAAAACCGGCATTTTTTATTACTCGTACGTGAGAGAAGCTTGCTGTTCTGAAGAGGATTAAGTTTTATCTGCAACTTGTGGAACATTTTCCTTATTGCTATTCTTATGAACACATTTGAATAATCAACACAGAGAAGCACTTGGACTATAATCTCTTTTTCTTTCATATCTTTTACAGATTCAGCATCATAGGAACTTTGTCCAGCCGGAGTTATCCAGTGGTAACAACTGCTTTTTGATAAGGTATTGTGCTGATAGTATGAGAGCGGATACTGTGCAAAGGAACACCATGCACATCTATTCCACTTCAAAAGACATACATATATCCCTCTATATAAAAGTGATTATGTTGGAATCTTACATGGCCACAAATGCCCAGTAAGAAAGAGGTGAAAGGCTACTTCTGTGACCTATTAAGCAGAGGCACGATCATTTCCATTCCAATGGTACTACACATGGTCACCGGCCCCTAAGAGTGCATGAGTTATCAAATTCTGATCATTCATGCTCTCAGGATGCTCGCAGCAGTTAGTTAATGGGATGCAATGAAAACAGTCCTTGAGTAAAAACGTCTTTGGAAGTACCATTTTCATTCTAAAACCCCAAGACATTATATAGCATCAAGGCTGTCTATGAACAAAGCCTTTGGAGGAGAGACAAAATTAACTTCTATAAAATCCATAAGCTTTATGCCAGAAATGTCACTGTATTAAACCCCAAGCTGTGCACTATATAAGAGAGCCCTGACAGACGTTCTCACTTAAACATATTCCATTTGCCTGGCAAGGATTATGTTCTCATCTCTTGCATATAACTGTTCTCCCTGCTCCCAGACAGCCGTGGTGCAAGATGCTCAGTGGGGTTTGCATTGCTGACTACAGAGGGCAACTCCCTGTGCTCTGACAGTAGTCTTTCCTCCTCCTACACCCATCCTGATGCAAACCACACAAGGAATGACACTTCCAAACAAAGATGTTTGTTCTATAAATAGGCTTCTTCTCATACACCACAGACATCACCACCCTTTCCCAGCATCTAGGAGCAGCAACACAAGTAAATATCAACACTGGTTGATCCTGTAAGAAAGGAAGAAATAAAGCACATCAGTGAGATGCACTGATGGCAAAAGCATGAAGATATTTCACACAACCTCAACAGAAGAAGGAAGTTTGTTTCAATTTAGGAAGAAATGTGCTCCTAAGCTGTAATATAGTATTAAGTATGATTTTTTCTTTTCCTAAGTACTGTGGGGTCCATAACTGCAGAATTGAAATGTAGAATCAGAAAGACCAGTAGGGTCAGTTCTGCACCCGCTTCTGATTTCAGTGGGTACTGCAGACATGTGCATTCGTAAACCAAAGTCTTTTACCATCCAATTCCTGTGAAATCCTCCCTGCCATGAGGAAGAGCAGAAACAGGGGTAGATCAAGGTGAAGTGCTTTGCTCAAGGCCACAGATTACAACTGGGGTTGAGGTGAGGGCTCTTAACTTCCTGCTTCCTGTTTTAATGACCAGGTTACAGAGCCTCCGCCCCACCACTGACCCCCATAACTTCATTGCTGTCCCATGATGACACATGGCCTTGCCTGGCAATAGCAGCCCTTCTCCTTCCCTGTGCATCTTGCTCAGCAAAAACTTCTCACCCCATTTCCCTTTCTAGGCAAAGCTTTACAGTCTGTTCTTTTCCATATCTTGTCTCACACTCTTGGAACATTCAGGTGCCAATACCCAAACAGGAACCATTTAGTTCCTTAAGTACTGAAAGCCTTTGCCCTTGTGTTTTCAACTGACTGAAATCCACTCATAAAATCAGCTTTCCTCTTGGTCATAGCTCAGAATTAAATACTTCATGTTTTTTCCCTCCCTTTCCCATACATTTGTCCTTCCTGGGGTATTGTCATTTGAATTTAATGACTTGCAAGCTATTAAATATTGAAAGAGCTACAGTTCTCTATAAACAGGTTCCATGTTCTGCTGATTTACTGGTTTGAGAGACATTCATGCCTCACGCTCAGAAACAAGCATGAAATAGGAGCATCCCTTAACAGAAGTCTGGCAATCCATGGCACAATTCCAAATGCAGGCTTAGATTGATAAGGAAGATCTAATGCACTCAGGAGTATTTCTAGCAGCATATAGATTTTCCTGTGTGTTATTTTAGTTTCAAAGCCAAAATGCTGGCTTGGAAGGTTCAAGTCTTCTGATTACATTTAGAAAATACAATGCAAACTCCCTGCTGTGAGAAGCTTTCTCCTTGACTTGTTTTACTTGTGATCAGAGCATTGGCATTGCCACCAAAGGAATCGACTCATGCTAAGAGTGGCAGCATTTCCTAGCCCCATGGAAACACTACCACAGGGAATAAAAGAGCTCACAGCTCACTTGGAGGAGGCAATACAAACAGGCCTCAGACAGCATCCCTTTTCTGGCCCAGTCTACTCATGCACAACTCATGCTTGGCAGCGGAAAGCACTACCTCCATCTATCCAAGCAGGTTGTTCACGACAGCACAGAAAGTGGCTGGATGCACTAAATAGCAGACCCCAATACCCACCTCAGCAACAAGAAAGGAATCTTGGGAAAGGAGATGTTTTGCTGCCTGTGTCCTGCTCTAATGAGGCCAACCCAGCCTTGGTTTCGACTCGACTTTCCTACTGCAACCAGAACAAGGCTTCCCAGCCCTCGCCTGAAGCGGTCTAGAGCGTAGTTCACATGTGCTAGAGGTTCTTGTTTTCTGGTGGAGCTCTCGGAAGTGGGAAGGAAGCAGCAGTCCCATTACCAGCTGGTTGCTGCTAAGTGTTTTGTCACCCACTTCTCTCACATGGCTTAGAATACTTTCCATAAGGAGGCTGGCAAGTACAAGCTGGCAAAGAGTGCTGAAACGGGGCACGTGGTCCTGATGAGCACTAAGATAGAGATGGCAGAAAACTCGCTGTCAGTTAGGAATTCAG